AGACCGTGCGTGATGCTTGACTCATGTGGCTGAAGCCTGTTGGCGTGTTTCGGGCGCGGCCCCAGCTGTCTAACAGTTTGGACAAGTCTGAGCTGCGAGCTGCAACTGCTGCGAGAGAAGCACCGCAAGTCGGCCCTGCCTTTGTGAGTAATAATGCGCAACATGTCACATTCCCAAGGTGTTTTCATATTCTTTTTTTTGTGTCTTACAGTGAAAGAGTCGCGCCACGTTCAGGTGAAACCAGACTATTCAAACAACCCTCAACGACAGGTTTGTTTGCGGCGCTTTGCTTGGCTGAAACGGTTCGAGGGTTGGCTTGCCCGCAGAGCTGGTTTCCAACTACCTGGCGCCAAGCCAAGGGCTTGTTACTGAAGTGGACCTTGCTTCCTACTGTTGCTTTTTTGTCCCTTGTAAATAGCCTGCAAGGCTTTGCGACAAAAAAAAGTTCCATCGCAGCTAGTGCGACGAATCTGTTGTGTGATTGCTGCTAGTCCGACGTGGCTGTTGCGTGACACATGTTGCTGCTTGAGCGACTAACGTTTTCAGAAGCTGCTGTGTGACACATGTTGCTGCTGATGCGACGAATGTTTTTGAAAGCTGCTGCGCGAGAAATGTTGCTGCTTCTGCGGCGAACGATCAAGAGCTGCCGCGTGAAACATGTTGCTGCAAGCACGATGAACATTATTGGTGGTTGCTATGTGAAACATGCTGCTGCTTGTGCAACGAACATTTTCAGGTGCTCCCTTGGCTTCACTCGGCCTCCCTTAAAACTGCCAAACTGCGCTTGCAAAATGCCTTGCGACGCTGTGCAGCGCGCGGTCAACTGATGCGGGGTGATCAATCTGCTTGTGCTGTCTGGCGTCCCTTAGCTTCACTCGGCTTCCCTTACAACTGCCAAACTGCTCTTGCAACATGCATGGCGACACTGCTGGCAGCTTGTGGAAGCCGGTGGAACAGTGTTGGAGAATGGATGCATAAGAATGTATGGAAGGGATGGAACTGGTGGAAAATGGATGGAAGATGAATGGGCAATTGTGGATGATTGATGGCAACTAAAAAAACAAAGTACACTAAAGGAGAAAGCAGATGGGATGGCTCGGACATGGATGGGAACCTGGACGGGGCTCAAGTAACAGGAAAGGCAAGGACGTGCAGGGACTGGAAGTGCAGGAGCGGGCCTGACGGGCTGGCCCCCGCCCTCCTTCCACTTCTTTTCGACTTGGAAGCACCCTGCGGGCAACTTTCCGGTAGATGACGAGTAGCGACTGAAGGGCAGTGAAACAGATGACACTTCAAATGCAGGAAAATGAAGTGACAGGGCGGGAAACATCCAACGGAAGCAACTGCGGCCTTTTCGGCTCTGACACCATGCGCACTCCCTGGCTGGCGCGACCATCGCCTTTTCTCCATGGCTGAAGCGGTATATGACTGAGAAGCGCCCTGTGGGCAACTTGCCGCCTCCTCCCTTTCGAGCGCGTTTGCAATCGCGACTGCAGAGGCACATGACTGAGAAGCGCCCTGGGGGCAACTTCCGCCCTGTTTCCGTTCTAGCGCGTGCATGCTGCTTCAACCTGCGCATGTGGGTTTAGCGTGTTGGCGCGCTTCTGTGGTTTTAGCTTTCGAGCAGTTTGCACAAGGCTTCGCGCTGGGGTGCTTACAGGGGGGAGGAGTGCGACTGACACGGCGCTCAAGGAAGTGCAGGGAGCTCAAACGCACAGGAAGCAAAGGGAAATGCCAGGAAACTCTCAAAGTGCAGGAAAGACGCGCAAAGGAAGTGAGTTTCAAATCTCGGCATCTCATCCGAATTACAGGACAGGGAAGTGACAGAACAGGCAGGGCAAGGTGCCCGGTGGCCGGCTGTGTCACGTCAGCGTGTAAATCCGGCCACCGGACGTGATCGGGCCGCAGGCCAAAGCCCGTTAGGGCTTACCTTCAGGTATAAGGCCGCGCGCCCCATGCCGCCGACCATGAGCGGACCATGAAGGTAGGTTTTGCGCTGGGCCCGCCCTTATAAGGGGCGAAGGATTTGCGGATTGGTTTCGGCGATTTTTGTAGCATTTTCCCGCAGCGCTTAAAAACGAGCATTTTTAGGGGGTGCCTAATACTGGACAACACCCCCAGCATTGCCAGCATCATCCCGGATGATGCGGATGATGTTATGCATGCTGGCGATGCGGGGGATGCTGTCCCCTAAGTCGGGCCAATTTTGCCGAAAACGTGCAACCTGAAAATCTTAAAATCTAAAGTGGATGGAAATGGATGGAAAATGGCCTGGATTGAAATCTTAAAATCTTAAATTAAAATCTAACACTCAATCTTAGAATCTCAAGATCTTAAAATCTTAGAACTTAGAATCTTAAAATCTGAAAATATAAAAACTTCCTAAAGTCTTCGAATCTTGAAATCTTAAAAACCTTATGTCTTAGAATCTTGAGATCTTAAACTCTTAAAATATGAAATCTTAGAACCTTAATTCTTAAACCATTGAAACCTGAAATTCCGAAAGTCTTCAAATCTGAGACCCTTAGAATCTCAAAGTTTTTAGAATTTCAACATCTGAACATCTACTCATCGGACTTACAGGAAAGGGACGTGACAGAAACCCTCATGTCTTTGAATCTTCAGATGTTAAAATCATAAAAAATGAAATTCCTAAATTCTCAATATCCTAAAATCTCAGAATCTTAAAAGCTTCAAAAACTTAAATTCTTTAAATCTCGAACTATTGCAGTCTGAAAATCTTAAATTCATAAACAAGTAAAATATAATAAAATTCCTTCAATACGGGCTATATTATTCTAAATTCCTTAAACTCTTAATCTTCAAATTTTGAAGTCTTGACATCTTAAGATCTTAAAATCTTAAATTCCGAAAGTTGCCGAATCTGAAAATCTCACAAAAAATAAAATCTTAAAGCCTTCGAAATCTGATAATGGATGGTAAATGGCTGGGCAATGGCCTGGCTGTTATAACCTTCAAAAGCCTTAAATCTTCGAATCTTAAAACCTTAATTCTTCAACCATTGAAACCTTAAATTCCGAAAGTCTTCAAATCTGAGACCCTTAGAATCTCAAAGTTTTTAGAATTTTGAAATCTTAACATCTACTCATCGGACTTACAGGAAAGGGAAGTGACGGAACGGGCAGGGCAAGGTGCCCGGTGGCCGGCTGTGTCGCGTCAGCGTGTAAATAATTATCCGGTTCTTGTGGTCTCCTTGAGCGGTTCATTCCCAAAGCGGGGTGAAAATTCCCGACACTGTGGATGGTTGCGAAATCCCATTTCGCACCCGTTCAGAAACCCTGGTTTCTGATGAATCCCCAACGTAAATACCAACAAACAATGGCTTCAACTATGGTTTCAAAGTGGTGCGAAATGGATTTCGTCCATCCACAGTAGGAAGGGTCATTCCCTGAGCACCAGCAAATTACCCAGTGCTTCCAAGCAAGCCTAGTAGCCATGGGAATCCATGATGTAAAACCTAGAGGTACCTATTTCATGTGCCTCCAGTCAAGTGATTTTAGCTTTGGATTGAACTGTCCTTATTTAGACGGTTGGGGTCTTTGTCAGAAACTGGGGTTGGTTTGTAGTTAGAACCTGAAAGAGGGTACAGAACTTGGGCCTCCAGTTCTTTGTTGCAGGAATAATTTCTCCTAGCTGCTTTTGGCGCGCTCGCCCAAGCAAGCTGCTGGTTCTTGGCAATGGAATCAAGTCATGATGATGTGGGTTGGTACATCGTCATGATGTGGGTTGGTACAAAGAAACAAAACGGGCTAGGACCTTTTTGATATGTATGCCCAAAAATGAAACGCCGATGAGCTGCGCATCAAACACCCTCAACAGGAGAAGAGCGATTCGCGAATCGAACCGTATGGAAGCCGTTTGGATAAGGGAAGTGGGGCAACCCGACACGGCATTCTGCTCAGGAGGCGGGTACAAGCGTTGAATTCCTTAGCCTTGCTACAGTGCCCATGTCGCAGCTCATCTTTGCGAAGTCTGAGTTGCTTGCATGCATGTATGCACCCATGGCCACTTGTGGCCCAGGGGCTGGTCAGAAGTTTCCCGAGTCCCAGCTCTCCCCACCGCTATGGCGAATCCCGTGGAAAGGGAAGCGAGGCCTTGTGACAAGACGGTGCCTTCGCGAGAGGCTTCGCGAGTGCCGACGGTGCCCTTTTGGGAGCTGCCCCCACAGCCACAAAGCTTCATCGAGAAGAAGTGCTGGTCAAGAGTGAGCTAGAAGGGCAGTCAAGCTAAGCCAGAAGCAAGACACCACTAGGTATGTACTTGACATATGCCAGAAAGTATGATAGCATTCTGCAATGTCTATGCCGTCTATGCTCAACACATACTAGACACCTGATAGGCTTGCCGTACAACTATGCTCGACACTGCTAGACGTCAGTGTCAATGCACTTGACACATGCCAAGACTTTTAGACATGTACTAGACATGTGATAAATGCATGCTGGATATATTATGTTGTCCTGCTAAAGATATGCCGTACACTGTTCAACTCAAACTATACTGGATTCCTCGAGTGGTAGACGTGGGGCAATGAGAACGGTCCAGCCGATAAAGCAACGCGAGGAAACCGGAAACAGGCTGGCAAACTGAACACAACAACAAAAGCATTGGAGGACATGTTCAAGAATCAAGCTGATATCCTTTTCCTGCCGCCTTTTCATGTTGTTGTTCTCGAGGTTGTGTTTTCCTCCTTTTCCTCGAGCTTTTGGTCAATGGGCTCTCTCTGCATCTGAGGGAAGTCAAGCTGCCAGGGGTTTCATAAAGGCACGTTATATTTTGTTGGGACTACGAACAAAGCACGTTAAACTTGTTGAACGGAGTGTGATAAGGTATCCAAGTGCTGTTGCCATCTATCTGTGTTGCATGAATTGTGGAACAGCTTGATTCGGGATGCATTCTCACGTTTAGCGATGTAGCAATTGTTCATTCCCCTGACTGCTCCCATGGCTCCCTACACGAGTGCAAAGCTGCCAAGCCGCTGCGGGAAATAAGTCGACATGGTCATGCTGACCTGGGCTCCTGCAAACCGGGAGTGCTGTTGAGTGATTTTTCCTGGTTGCATTTGTACGGCCTCAAACAAACCGCCAAGCAGGGCAGAGGGGGGGTTGAGGGGGGGGGGTTGACCATGAGGTCTGGCTGATTGTAAGGGAGCCCTGTTTGGTAGGGTAGCCCTGTTTGGGCAAGCCCTGGTTGGTTGTGTGCATATGGGTGAAACTTCCAAACGGGGAATGGGCTCCATCAATGCCAAAACAGGAACTGAGACCATTCGGCAGGCCGAATGCCGCGATTCAGCCAGTGCCCCCTCCAACACGGCGGATTTATGTGCAACGAGCCTTTGTCGCGGAAGCAAACAGATATGGCGAGATAAGGAACCAGCCCAAATGCACAACAGCCAAAAATAGAAGCCCGCCTTGTCAACAACAGTCCACCCAAATCCTACTCGACCCACAAACTAACCCAATTCCGAAAGACAACTTGCGCTTGTGCAAATCTTCAAGTATCTTTGGCACAGTCCGTCCATGCACTTCAAGTGCCAACATCAAGAAGCAGTGTTTGTTGTCGGTCAACGAAAGCGGACCGTGTTTGTTTGGACCCGAAAACCATGAGGCAAATACGTATGTTGGAAGTGGAAGAACAGCGTCCTCACAAGTCATGGTCAATATCAGCGCCTCTGACTTTTGTGTGTTGAAGTCATATCCCTCCACTAGTAGATGATGAAGAATAATGGACGTAACATGAATGGACAAATATGGACATGATGTCTTTTACCATGCAAGATCCCTTCACCACGGGTAAAGTCGGTCGCACACCATACACCTTCCGTGAGCTCGCGATTGAATTTGCTCCACCATTCTTGGGTGGGCCCTTTTCTTAGCAAAAGACAAGATGTTGGAGGTACCATGGACAGCCCAATAGTTTCGAAGAGTTCGGATTCACCAAAGAGTCATGGTTGTGAGGCATAAGAAATCAAGGACGCCCCAACCTTGAAGGCCGGTCCAAACTTCCTGTTTGAATACAACACTATCTATATAGTCTATATATGATTCAAAACAGGTACGTGCTCTGATTGGCCAGAAACAATGCAAGGTCTCAAGATCAAATAATCTGTAGTTGCCATGTCTAACACAAGACCCAACACCGGAAACCACCTGGTAAACAACTTGCTTCGCCCTGGACACGATCTTATTGCTTCGTGGAACGGAGCAAGTTGCCCCAAGACCCAGCCACGGGAGGTGGTAGGCAAGAACAACACCTCCCACGAAAGGCTTTCACAAAAAAACAATATGAATCACGTGGGTTGGTCTCCAAAATAGGGGAACTCCGCAAGCTTGTGGCTTGTCCTTTTGGTTTCCACTGAGTCCAGACCCAACGAAAAACCGAGGACTTTTCGATGTCAAGAAACGAGACGCCCACCGCGTGGCGCTCCTGGCTGCGCGCCGGTCCAGGAGGCCACCAGGCTCCAGTCGAAGCCGCTGGAGGCCCGGTGCAGCACCTCGGTCGCGACTTACCGACCGGAGGCATCGGAGGGAGCGACCGGGTGGCCAGACTTCCGAAGGTAAAGCGTCCCCAAAAACGATTCGGGACACCGGACCTTGGGCGTGTGACATGATGGATCCACGTTGGGATGGTCAAATTCTCCTTGAGAGAAACGGGCTCGCATCATACATACGGGAATTTAATTGCGCTAGTGACTGTGGACACCTCGCCAATTTAAGCTGACTTGCTGATGGTTTGCGGCAAATTGGCCGCGTGGGCAGGACTTTGCTCGTCCGTGAAAGCCAGCCAATTGAGTCTGTCGTGCGAAACTTAGGGCTGCAGCATGGTTTCCTGTGAGCGTGCCAGGCACCCGCCCCCCTCCCGAGAATGCGGTGCAAGCCTATGACACAGAAGCGGACACCTCGAGTGCGGCCACAGCGCAAATACTCTTCCTGCACCTTCATTTGAACACTTATTTTTGCTCGATGTGGGTTGTCACACTTCTTCTGGCCGACTGAACAAAAATGGGCCGGTTGGGCCGAGTTGGAAAGAAAATGACCGATTCTATGGAAAAGGGTCGTGGCTATCCTTGCAGGCTGTTGTTTTGCATGGACGGCCCGCAACTGGCTTGCCATGCGGGTGATAGTCTGTTTGCCCTACCTGGACAATACTTTTGGATTGAAACCCTGGGGTTCGCCAGCTGATGAGGCAACAGAGCTGGTTTTGTGTGATCCTGCAATTCTAGATTTGACCACTTTTTGAGATTTGCGTCCGTTTGCGGGTTGTTGCGTCCGTTTTGCGGGTTTTTGCGCCCGATTTGCGGCATTTTTGGGGCACAATTTTGCGCAAAAACAACAAATGGTCAGACCAAAGGCCAATTCTTGCTTCCAATTCCTGTCCCTGTGCTGGCTCCACTTCTTAACGGCACGAAATTCAGGATTTGCAACAAAGCTAGGCGGTGCCTAGAGCCGCAGGCTCAGCTGCCCCGAAAATGCTTCACAGGTAGGAAACGCACTGTTTTTACAAAAAGTGTTCGTTTCTCAGAAAACTGCTCGATTGTGACAACGGCTAGTTTTGAAGACCACTTCCAGAAAAAGTAGTCGATGTCCCAATTGAACAAATATAAGTGACTGCTTGACGCTGCAGGTTCAACCAGGATTCACACCCAACACATGGCACGCAAACCCTGCGACTGTGGCTTGGACAGTGGCCCCCAGAATCTTTTTTGGTGACGAACTCAAGTTTCCCATTTGAGATCTGGCTCAGGCGGGCACGATCTCTCTTGCTGCCAGCCTTCGCGACAAGCCGCTCGAAATGGATGTTTTGCGCCTCTGCCCAAAGTTGACCTCTTGTTCCGTATACACTGCAAGAGTTAGATGGCGCTGACAAGAACCAACGCAAATTCTGTGCCATCTAGGCTCAAACTGACCCATGCCTATGCTGTTGGCTCTTTTGGACCACTTCCCAAAGGTTTTTGGAGACTGGGAAAGGTTGCCCGTGCTTTGTAGCCAATGATCTGCACCAATGATCTGCCAGACTTTGGCCTTGTCCAGGCTTATAATAATTAGCTTTCGCAATGAGAGCCACCCAATCCTGCGGTGCTAAGGACATCACCTTGCACTCAGAGGCTGGCAGCTCGGACAAATCGTCCGCCCGCCAGCATTGAGGCCCCGCAAAATAATTCCACGGGTTAGACCCTGCCGAATGCGTATGTGTGTATGTATCCAGTGCTTCCAGTTACCACTAGAGTAGGTATCAAGGGAAGACCACGACGCAAAACCTAGATCTGGCCATGCTTGGTTGCCTACTATAGTGCAGCACTTGGTATGCTTTAAAAGGACACCAACAGGAAAGCTACCAGTTTGGGTGTTTCCCTTTGACACATACCCATAATCATGAATGGCGGGTGGACACTGAACCGCACCCTTAGGATGGTGGACAGGGCAAACCTTTTGCGGTGAGAGCAGAGTGCGTCATGGACAGGACGTGCCAGTTGCCCCTCCCATTGAAAGGCTGTGGAAGCCTATGTTGTTTGGCTGGTGTCTAGGGAACCAAGTCGAAAAAGCTGAGGCTTCACATGTTGGAAGAACTTATCACCCGCCCCCCCCCCAACCACTGCTTTTTGGACAGTACTTGGGATTTTGGACATGGTCGAAAAGCAGTTGTGGGGTGCTGAAAGCTACATTGACCTACAATGAGGGTCCTCGAAGAAGCCCTCATGTCCATCACAAACGAGTCAATTGCCAGGGAATACCAAGGCGGAATCCGTCAATGTGTTTGTATCTATATATCTTGGTTGCTGTTGACCCCCCGGCAAAAAGCTTCGCTTTTTTGGGGGGTTCAGTGGAAAACGCCTTGATTTCCCCTATATATATATATATTGCACATATGGGTGCGACTTGTTTTGAGGGAACCCTTTTGGGGCTGGGAACCCAAAGGCAAACCAAAAGGGTCCCGGTCCCGTTTGGAGGCGACCTCCAGCGGCCAGGGAATCAGGGATTGATCCTGGCTCCGTTTTGATGGAATGCCCAAGAGGAAGCCGTTTTTCTTTTCAAAGAACACCACCCACCTGAAACATGATCCTGAATGAATGGGAAAACAAACACCGACCCCGCGTGGGGTTGGCACAACAAAACAAAACAAAACACGCCAACGTTGGCTTTGAAAGAGGCGACCTGGCAGCCTTCCCTTCCAAATCCCCCTGCCTGCGGCCGCCTGACAGGCAGCTTCAAGCCAACATGATTGGCCAACATTTTGGAGGGATCCTTGGACATGCAGGTCACCGAATATATGCTTGTGGATCGCCAGAAATTGCGCCCCCCAGAACGTCACATATTGAACATCGCAGTTTTCAGTGGCAAATGGGGTAAACACCGCCTTGAAAGTGAAAGGGAACCCATGCACAGAACACCATTCCGCAAGTGCTCTGTCCCTCCCCTTTGAAGCCAATTCCCCTCGTGGGACCGTTTGGTGTGGGGTCATAAGCATTGCGCCTGTGCAGGGGTCCCGCTTTCCATCCATCATGGAGGTGGACCTGCCAAAGCCTGCCTGCTTACTTCCATGGGACAGCTGCAAAACCTAAGACGTCTTTGGGCGAGTTCAATTGGGAAGTTCTCGTTTTGGGGTTTCACTATATCGTTCAAAAAGGCTTCTGACACTCGTCTGGGGTTTCACAAAATCACCGAGAACATATCTCTGCACAGACTTTAGACCCTCTCTCAAATTTCGATGACGGCACCCCTTCGAGATCGGACAATCATCCAAATGAATTGCCCAATTGCCGGGAAATTCACGATTCATATGGGAAACGACATCTCAATCTTTTACCATCTCTTGCTTTGGGCTAGTGGCGATTGAGATGTTGAAACCTGGCTCGCCAGCCCAAAGCTGCACAACCACACGATGAAAGGGGCCGCAATGAGTACTCGTCCAAGGCAAAGCCGAGCCCTGGCAACCTTACGGCCAGCACTTGCTCATCAAACAGCGCCAAAACCCTCTTTTGTTTTGGGGTGCCCAGTAGTTGAACACACCCCAATCGCGGTAGGCTGAGAAGCCAAACTGCTGACAACTCAAGGACTTTTATTGAGGTCTCCGGGCATCCAACTCACCTCGTCAAGCGCGACCAAACATGGCGGAACGTCCATGCCATCCTGTGGCAGTTCCGCTGCACTGCCCAAGTCGGGCTGATCGTGCGGTGGCTTCCCGACCGGGAGTGCGTCAAAGGAATGCCCACAGATGCTTCCGTAAAATGGGGGACAGCTGGCAAACATGACTTTCTTGGGCTTCCCTTGGAGCACAAACCAAAGAACGGGGGGTTCGGAATCTTAGGACATAACATGGTTCCTTGAAACACGCGGGCCCTCGTTTCGACATGTGCCATGGTTCATTGCCCAAACTCCTGGACTTCTGGCCATGCCTGACACTTTGGATCTTCCTTGCGACATCCCCGGCGCGGGCCCCGGGGCGGCCCCAGGCCTAGGCCGCCGAGGTTGAGGAAGGGATTGGTGGTGGTGATGGTAACGGTGGGACCCGCAACGCCTGTGGACGTCGTTGCTTTGGACCTCAAGGCATGGCACCGTGTGCCACATGCGAGGCGCAAAGTTTGCGCGGCCCGAAGAAAACTCCGGCGGCTTCAACCCAAGGAGTGACTAGGTTGGGACACTAAGCCGCGGATTCACCATGCAACAGGTGCTGAACACAAATCGACCGGGGGAAATCCGCAGGATCATCTAAATCTATGGGTTGCATTGTTTGAACTCATGGCTAGGCAATTGGCTCAAGAGGAGTTCTGTTTCCCCAAACCACCGAGAAAAACCCTGAAAACTGAGATGGGCGGAGGGCCTAGTTGCGCATGCTTGCTTGAGGGATAAAAGGGCGGTCCATGCAAGCGAGTCATATGATCGGCTGACCCATTTTCACACAGCGAACAACAACAAGGGGCCTGCATCCTGTACTGCGGTGTTCGGGGATCCCAGTGACGATTCGTCACTCAGGTCGTCACCGCACCCGAATCGAAGTCTCCGGGAGAAAAAGCAAATCCAGCAACAACCAAACCAGCCAAAACAAGAAAACAACAACAATAGAAAACGACAGCAGACCAAACCAGCCACAAACCAAGTAGTTGCTGATTGTGGCAAATATCCATGCAACAAAGGGGGCTTTCTACAGAACACACAAAACCACAACATCCAGTGTGCATCAGCTTGGCTTGGCAAGGACGTTGGATTTTCCCGCAAGCTAGTGCAAGCGAAACCGAGCATGCACCATAGGCCTAGAAGCTCTCAAATATGGTGCAGCTACCACCTGCTTCCCAAATCCGGAAAAGGAATGCAACTGATGCCGAGGCACTCCTTTTAGCACTGTGCTGAGTGTCTTCTAGCCAGGTTTTAAACGGCAAATATCAAACTATGTCAAAGCCAAGGGTCCGTGACTCTTCTCTTCAATCGACGGATGAAACTCTCTAAGTGGAGCTCCCACTTCCTCCTCCACATTGCATTCACCACGCCGTGTTAAATCTGTAAGCAAGTTCTCTCTGCCCACCCCCTTGTTCTGACAACTGAATCCCAAACGCCTGAGGGCCGCAAAAGGGTAGCAGCGGACAAGACAATACTGTGGGTGGACAAAATCCTGCACCACCTAGGAAGCCCTGGAATGAATGATTCCCCTGCAAATACTAACAAACCATGGCTTCAAACATGGTTTCAAAGTGGTGCGAAATAGATTTCGTCCATCCACAGTATTGCTACTTGTTCTTCGAGGCATGGGATCCAAGTCCCATGGAAGTCCACGGCTTGAAATTCCAGTCATGTGGTCCGTTTCTCATTTGGCTGTGGCTCAAAAAACCGGAATTCCAAAATGGAGCCCTAGTAAATGGAACCAAAGACTAAAACCCGCGGTTTGCCCCCCCCCGGGACAATTTTTGAGCCACACCCATTTCGTGAACCGTGGGAAGCATTTTGAGAAAGTGCTTAAACGGAAAACACACCGCCGTTTGGAGCAAATGAAACTAGACAACCACTAGAAGCAATTCGCTGCTGAAAGCTGTCTTGGTTCAATAAAAGCGCACCCGCTTGAGAACGTTCTCATCCAACTACACCTAATGCATCCCCACTACTACACTCTGCAAAACCATCGAGGTCCCTTCCCTTGGGAAACATCCACATGATGCTTGGCCCCAGTGGCCTGACCAAAGGTTGCAGGGCTGATTGCAAGCGACTCCCTTGCCGAACTTGGGGCAAGAACGTGGTAGGCGTGGGCGGGCCCGGGGCCGCGGCCGCCTCGGTTTTCAGTCTGACTGAGAAAGCGACTGCCACGCCGACTGGGCCACGTACTTAGAATACGCGGACTCCCAAGAGACACTGTAAGGTTCAAGTTCATATTTCTACATGCATTATTGATACATGATAATTCACAAACCAAACTTGAGTGACTCGCGCGGAGGATGTATTGAAAAGCGCCTTTTTGAGCTTGTGTCAGGAGCTTCCACTTGGCTCGTCCAAGTGGTGCCTCCCTTTGCACAAAAACCATCCAAATTCGCAATGTAACCGCAATTCAGGCTCTTTTGTGTAAATCACAATAAGCCCAGGTATTCCAAAAAGCAGCCATCCAGAACCCTAGCCCGGAGCTCCGCACCACTCGGAAGCTTAGTTTGGGCAGGGACCGCATATCTTTCAGTTCTTGGGGAATAAAAGACTCATTTGAGCATTTAAAACCACAAGACATGAGTTTGGACCAAAGTGCTCCATTAAGAAAGGGCACCCTCTTGGGTGGACAAGGGATGATTTGAAAATTGGATTTATAGGGTACATTCGAATGGAAACGAGGGTGGGAGTACATTCCGGACAGCTGCTTAAAAAAACATAAGGCCTTTGATGGAACAACCAAGAAGCATTCTGCCACTTGCCTGGAGTGCAATGACTATGACTGTACCTCACTTCTTTGAGGCGCTGGCTGTGGTCGAGGGGGTGAAAGCTGTCTGGCACTCTTCGTAGCGCAGGCACTGTACCTGAACGCTGGCAGCAAGCTCTTTTCTGATCCAAATTCGGGCCGGCCGCCGACCACCTGGTCAACCTTGTTTACTGCTGTCAGGTCGCAATATCTGCAGTCATGTACGCCTTCCTTCAAGGGCGTCACTCGTTTTGCCCAAGTCTATGCATCGCCATTCATCCGACGAATGCTGCAACAACTAAGTATCTGGGAGACGATTAGGCACCCATACACCAGGACATGCCAATGCATGTAAGCACCCTGTACTCATACGGAAGTCAATAAGGTGCATGCAGCATACATGATACGTGTGTAATATACATAATACATATTCTGAATTCAAGGATGTATTGATACACACAAGGAAAAACACTGTGCACACACGCAAGCCAAGCGTCGAAGCACACTGCTGAAAAGCCGCTCCTTGAACACCTACATTCGCTGAGACGCTCGCTTTGTCAATTGGAGTCGCCTCTGAGCAGCTAAGTGCTAACTGTAAACAGGATTTTGCAGGCATTAGACACTTGGACTCTGTGCATTTGCGGCTTCCCTAAGCGTCCAAGTACCTCACATTGGAGATTCGAGGAATCTGCACTTGCCCAAACGTGTAAATGGCGGGGAAATGTCACCGGCCCCATCCCCTTGGCACCACCATGGGCTGGTACAGCTCCACCGCTACCCAGGCATCCATGGGCGCACAACTGCCTGGCACGTTGGTGAATATCGCCCGTGCCGGCACACCCCGATCATTGGGCAAACAATCGCAGGAATCTGCTTGTAGCTTCTTGGCACTTCTCCTGTTGCAGTCCCTTTGGCAGACGGGGAATGGGATTGGCTAATAATGTCAACAGCCTCACATCAGGCAGAATGTGGTTTCGTCTCCGTCTGTTCATACAAACCCTGTTTGTGTGTGAGCGTAATTGTGTCTGTGTTTGTGTGTCTTTCGTCTGTGTGAGTGTGCATCTGTGTCGGTGCGTCCAGCTGTCTCTTCGTCTGTCTTTCTGTCCGTCTGTCTGTCAGTCTGGCTTCTGGCTGGCTGCTGGCTGGCTGACTGGCCGTCTGTCTGCCTGTCTGTCTGGCTGTCTGCCTGTCCGTTTGGCTGTCTGGGCCGGTCTCTGTCTCTCCGGTGGCGAGTGTTTCACGATCGGTCTTGCCCTGCAGGCAGAACTTGACGGGTCATTTTGGGTCCATGTTTCCTGGATGCCTTTCTTGTCAGTCGCTTCAATAAGCAATGGCTAACAACACGGCGTTGGTCGGTGCCTACGCGGAGGAGAAGCATGGGGAGTTTCCAGTTAAGGGCAACCTTTGATGTTTCAAATTCAAGGGACACAAATCCGGCAGGCAAAAAGGGCTTGCCAAAACTCCAAAGTTGACCTTCGAGAATCCAATTTGGGTGTCGAGCAAATGGGCCTTGCTGCGCGGCAAGATGACACAAACCCATTTCGATGAGCTCCTTGACTTACTTGTCCATTGGGGTACTTCAAAACCAACTTGAGTCATGACCATAGTACATAGCCAAAAGGCTAGCAAGTGTTGAGCTCCTCATACTTGTTGCCCAAGTTGATTTCAACCCCGTTTCTGGCTGGTGCTCCAGAAAATGAACAACTCGGTCTTCGTCGAGATCCCGCGAAGCGTGCTTGCACGGCCCTGATGGGTTCCTTTGGGCAAGCAAGTGCTCCGGCTTCTGTAGTGAATTGGCCGTGTTAATTCTGGGCACCCTTTCGGAATGGTCTTGGAATGAAATAAAATTGAAACTAACTATGACAAGGAGTCCCTGATGGTCACACATACCGGGGCGTTAAGGCGGCTGGATGGAATGCTCGAGGTGGGTTAACTGGGGGGGGAAGGCTCTTTATTGCTCAAAGTATGTGTGGAACCTTCTCCGTGACTTAACAAACACCATTCATGGTAATCGGTGGCCCTTCACACAGGATCCAAACCCAAGGAGCCCTGGCCCGTTCCGCAATCACCAACATCCGTTCAGCTTCCACGCTGGTAGGGAAGGTAAAACTCATGCACCAGGCATGTCATCCAAATCTCCCCTTGATCAATGCGGGCCAACTCTAGAAGTGGCCCTCAAAGTTTCGCATTGAGGCCAGGCCCCCATGGACCAGCGTTGCACGTGCCTTCGCAGTTGGAAGCCCATTCCGAAAAGATCTCGGCGGAAGCAATCAGCAAGCGGCATGCAGAAAGCATAAATGGTTGGCTGTGTATCAAACATAGGATCCGGATACTTCGAATGGTCGGCAACTCGTGTATGCTTCTTTTCGTGATGGGCTTGGGGCCAGTTTCTTGCTTTACAGTAGCTATTGGTGCCGCCTTCTTCTGTATAATGACCTCTGCCTAGGCAAGCTGTGACAATCCTGCATCCCAGAAGATGAAATACACATTACCTGATCCCCATACCGCACACCGTTCTTCGCCACGGTTCCAATGACATGGTCAGCTGTTCAACATCTTTTGCCAACACACACACACACACACCCTTCGGGAAGGTGATGCTACCGCAACATTGTAGAGGAACTTCTCATGACTCCCGCTTCTACCAACCTGGCTAAAAAGCTTTCGGGCGGCATCACATTAGTTCCTCTCAAACCGGAAAGGAACCCGGCACTCAACAGGCCTAAAGACCACTTCGGGCTATGCTTCTCTGGAAACCCAAAGCTGGGCGGTTCTTGTCGCTGGGCAAACGTCAGGTCCTGCTTGCTGGCATCCTTTTTCGAACAATCTTGGGGCTTGACCTACAAACCAGTAGGCTTCCAAAACCCCCTGTCAGCTTCCATAATATTTGAAGGACACTGTGACGCAAAACATCGCCGAATAAACAACAACCACAATCCACCTCATCCAAAACAGTGAAACCCTTCGAATACAAAATAGGCCTCGCTGGGATCTGCCCACACCCATTTTCGTGTCTAGTTGTGTTGTCCCCATTTCCCAACTTGAATTATGTGACCCCTTTGCATACATGGTCGTCCTCTTACCACCCGGAGAGAATGTGCAAAAACAAACATCAGCTTCTTACAAGGACACAAGGCTCCAAAGAAAGCCTCTTGCACCTCCTCTTCCAAGAGGCACTCCCCAACGCCTCCCAAGGAAACAAGTTGTATATAAACTTGTTCTCATGGTTTTATGGTGGCCATGTACTCCTATAGCCCCTTAGAGGGGTCGGAAATTTGCGGGGATGCGGGTCGGTCTCCGCATCAAACCAATCCACGTGGCTCCTCTGTGATTGACCTCTCAAGAAACCTCAACTGTGTGGGTGCCCTGAAACAAGACTTGACTTGACTTTCCCACATAGTTGTTGCACCACACGTTCGTCATGCTTGCATGGCTTTAGAGGCACGCCAACCGGAACCGAACCCATTGTAGCACCTTCTAGAGCTCCAGTTCCATTTGGGCGCGACTAAGTTTCTCATTGCCGCGGTCACCCTAGCGTGTTTTCGGGAGCTATGACCTGTTAAAACCCTATTTCTATAGACAATGCAGGCTGATCTTTTTCAGTGCACCCTGAGAAAAAGCGCTTTGCCACCAACTCAGAAGGTTTGGGCTGGCACAGCCGGGGTTCTAAGACACCTCAATCGCCCTCCGGCACTTCAAGCCGGGGCTGGCTCCGGTTCACCCTCAGTCAAGCAGGGTTACTCCGCATAAGCTAACCCCGGAACCATCTAAGTACCCAAGCCTGGCTTTAGCTTTGACGGCGTCGGCGTATGTTGCTAGGACCAGCCTTGACTTATAGCTGTGTCTCTATCCTTTTGGTTTCCCTTTAAGAACACCACACCAAGGGTGCCCTCAACAAACAAACGCACCCATACTGACCAACTTGTGGCAACCTCCCACCCGACCCGCCCAAAGAACCAAACCGAAGCGCCGGCCGACTCAGCGCGGCGCAGTGTCCTGGCTGTAGGTACTCCGCAGCGCCGGCGAGGAGCTGCGGCTCTTCACCAGGCTGCCGGACCTCATTTCATGGAAATCGAAGATATGTATCTACATGTTACATGTATCTATATATATATAAAGAGAGAGATAATCATGCAACATTCATATAACTATGTGTATGTACACACACACACATCATATGTTTTGAAATGCACACACTGCAATACGGTGGCTATGTTGCTCTAGTGCTGTTGCTTGTTTTTGTTGCTGTTGCTTGCTGCTTGCTGTGTTTTATTCTGAGTGTCCGATAAATGAAAGGTACGCAAGGACACTGCGTGAGTCTGCTGTGTTTTAGAGAAACACATGTAGTGACTCCCAATGTCTCTCCCACGTTGGCCGAACTTTCTTTGTTTGTGTGCATGATTGTGTTGTTTGTGTGCGTGCTTGGTTGTTTGGCTTGTTGGTTGTCTTGTTGCTTGTTTGTTTGTTTGTTTGGTTGTCTCTTTGATGGATTCATTGTTTGACTGATTGATTGATTGATTGATTGATTGATTAATTGATTGATTGATTGATTAATTGATTGATTGATTGATTGATTGATTGATTGATTGCTTGCTTGCTTGCTTGCTTGATTGATTGAGTGGTTGATTGATTTAGTAATTGGTTGAGTGACTGATGAATAAATCGATCCATCGATCGATTGTTTGCTTGGTTGCTTGCATGCTTGTTTGATTGCTTGTTTGTGTGTGTGTGTGTTTGTTTGATTGTTTGATTGCTTGATTGTTTGTGTGATTGTTTGTTTATGAGAGTGTTTCTTTGTATGTTTGATTGTGTAATTGTTTCTTTGTTTGTTTGATTGCTTGTTTGCGTGTTTGTTTGTTTGCTTGTTTGTTTGTTTGCTTGCTTGATTGCTTGTTAGTTTCCTTGCTTGGGCGAACGCTTGTTTGCTTGGTTGCTTGCTTGCTCGTTTGTTTGATTGATTGTTGGTTTGGATTGTTTGTCTGTTTGCGTTCGCTTGTTTGTTTGCTTGCCTGCTTGCTTGCTTGATTGTCTCTTTGATTGCTTTGGGTTGCCCGCTGTCTATTGACTCGATTGTTGTCTATATGAGTTGTTTGCAACTTTCCGCTGGTTGGTGTTGTGTTGGGTGCCGATTTGCTTGATGGGTTTGGTATTAAATGTGTCATGTGCTTTGGATGATTGGATGGTCTGCCAATATTAATTGCTTGGTCAGAATGATAACCAAGAATTGGGGCCCGATATCTTATGCGTATGTGCTTCCCAAACGAAGAAAAGACTACCAAACAATCTGTGAGTTGCTCATGTGTGGTTGGCTTAAACTTGCGATATTTGGGGCAGATCTGTAAAGCAAAGCGCAAGGAAAGCCAATTATTGTAAAGCTAAAGGAAACCAAGCCGAATACAAACAACAAAGTAACAACAGACTGCTGGACTCTGCCGAACTCGGACGGGTAGGCCGTGTCCGTTTGGTAATTACGGGGTCTCCCTGTTCATCTTGCCGCAAAGTCTAAATCACGGGGACAAAAGGTGGCAGCTCGTGGGTCGGCCCAAGTGCCTCCATCCCCCCGACAACATGGACATAGAGCAGACCTGGGAGCCGTGCAAGGGCCTCAGGCAGTCGCGGTCCTGGTAGAGGCGGAGGTTGCAAATGTGCCACTGCCTGCAGTTCTCAACTTTCAGACTGTGTTTCCCGGGTCAATCCTGTGCCAAAGGGTAAGAAAACCTCACAGACAGGCCAGCACCCTCCAACAACTGCTTGGTTGTGGGGTGCTGGTGTGTATACAAGATGCATATTGTACTTCCTTAAAACAACTCCAATTGAATGATCAAACGAAAGCCAAACTGGGTGGTGCGTTGCCAGTAAACGAGGCAAACCAAATCGGTATGCGCCAAAGCTATGCTCGGAATGGCTAGTTTCACGTGTCCTTCAAACATTTGCCCAAAACGTGACCGGCTATTCTTTCACTTCCCCAAATCCCTAACACAAACGCTGCCGGCCAAGTATCTAGTGGTACCCTCCCCATTCTCTTCAAGAATCCTTCTCTTCCAAAAATGGGCCAAACACCTGGAAAAAGGGTGGTTTCTAAAGAGAACAATAAGTAAAGAGAATGAGGAATCACCTTCTTCTAGGAGATGAAGGACGCAAGAGGGTCCGGGAATTCGAGGGGCACTGACACATTAAGGTTTAGGGGCGCTGACACATTAAGGTTTAAATCACTATAGGATCTGTCTAAAGAGAGGGATGGGTGAAGAGAATGGGGAACCAAACCTTAGAAAGTCGTCTTCCCGGGGATCCGGAGCGCTTCGGTAAGGCGCCGGCGCTTCCTCAGAGTTCACCGCCAGGCGCCACCAGAGGGGGTCGCCTAAAAAACAAAAGAACGTTTGGGTGGCCAACAAAAGTCCTGGGCTTAAAATCGGGAACCCCCAGAATTGATGGCTTCCCCTTGGTTTTGGGTTTGTCTAGACAGGGATCCTTGCATGATACACCTGAACATTGCCTTGTAAATGGTGGTAAACCCCCTTATTTTGGTTCAAAGAGCAACATGTTTCAAATTGGCAACATGTATCTTTCAAGGAGCGCTGGAATGGACCAGAGACTGATGATAAGGAGATGATGATGATGATGATGATGATGATGATGATGATGATGATGATGATGATGATGATGATAATGATGGTGGTGGTGGTGATGATGATGCTGAGTGTGCAAAACGATAAATCTAGTCTACATACGGCAAGGAATACAGGTTGGATTTGCGAAGGATTTGCTGTGACCTCATATCGTAATATCTCTATATTATCAAAGGAAGTTTAACAAGAAACTTCCGTAGTACTGGAACTAAATGAGCTAGCTGCTTTGACATATAGCTATGACAGGTAGCTAGCATGACAAATAGATAGCTTTGACATATAGCTAGCTTGACAGATAGATAGCTTTCCAATAGGCTTGCATGACAGATAGATAGCTTTGACATATAGCTAGCTTGACAGATAGATAGCTTTCCAATAGGCTTGCATGACAGATAGATAGCTTTGACATATAGCCAGCTTAACACATAGATAGCTTTTTTCGTGGCAGGCGCAGCACTTTCGCAAGCACTCTCTGCGAGCTGGGGGATGGCAAGATGCAGAAAACGTTGGCGCTGTGCGTGAATTGGGCTTCCGGACTGTGCGCAAACCACCTCGGCTGCGACGCCTGTACGGCTGCGGTCTCGGAACGGTCTCGGAACGGTCTCGGAACGGGTTCGGAGACGGGCCCATTGGCACGGCCGCGCGAAGGTTTCGCAAGGTTTGAATTGCGTGGCAAGCACTTTCGCAAGGTCAAGTATAGATTTCGTGGCAGGCGCAGCACTTTCGCAAGGTCAAGTATCGATTTCGTGGCAGGCGCAGCACTTTCGCAAGGTGCTGCGTCCACTCTCTGCGAGCTGGGGGATGGCAAGATGCAGAAAACGTTGGCGCTGTGCGTGAATTGGGCTTCCGGACAGTGCGCAAACCACCTCGGCTGCGACGCCTGTACGGAGGCGGTCTCGGAACGGTCTCGGAACGGTCTCGGAACGGGTTCGGAGACGGGCCCATTGGCACGGCCGCGCGAAGGTTTCGCAAGGTTTGAATTGCGTGGCAGGCGCAGCACTTTCGCAAGGTCAAGTATAGATTTCGTGGCAGGCGCAGCACTTTCGCAAGGTCAAGTATCGATTTCGTGGCAGGCGCAGCACTTTCGCAAGGTGCTGCGTCCACTCTCTGCGAGCTGGGGGATGGCAAGATGCAGAAAACGTTGGCGCTGTGCGTGAATTGGGCTTCCGGACTGTGCGCAAACCACCTCGGCTGCGACGCCTGTACGGAGGCGGTCTCGGAACGGTCTCGGAACGGTCTCGGAACGGTCTCGGAACGAGACACGGGCCCATTGGCACGGCCGCGCGAAGGTTTCGCAAGGTTTGAATTGCGTGGCAGGCGCAGCACTTTCGCAAGGTCAAGTATAGATTTCGTGGCAGGCGCAGCACTTTCGCAAGGTCAAGTATCGATTTCGTGGCAGGCGCAGCACTTTCGCAAGGTCAAGTATAGATTTCGTGGCAGGCGCAGCACTTTCGCAAGGTCAAGCACAGATTTCGGGGCAGGCGCAGCACTTTCGCAAGGTCAAGTGCAAAACCCGCGGCAGGAGTGCCACTTTCGCAAGGTCAAGTATAGATTTCGTGGCAGGCGCAGCACTTTCGCAAGGTCAACTTTCGCAGCCGGGGCTCGAGAATCGCAACTTTTAAGTACGAAAGTAGCACGCGAAGTCAACTTTCGCAGCTGGGGCTTGAAAATCGCAACTTTTACGTACGAAAGTAGTACGTGAAGTCCACTTTCGAAAATCGCAACTTTTAAGTACGGAAGTAGTACGCGAAGTCAACTTTCGCAGCTGGAGCTCCAAAGTACGAAAGTAGTACGTGAAGTCCACTTTCGCAGCTGGGGCTGGAAAATCGCAACTTTTAAGTACGAAAGTAGTACGTGAAGTCCACTTTCGCAGCTGGGGATTGAAAATCACAACTTTTAAGTACGAAAGTAGTACGCGAAGTCCACTTCGCAGCTGGCGCTTGAAAAGCGCAACTTGTAAAAGAAGTCAACTTTCGCAGCTGGGGCTGGAAAATCACAACTTTCAAGTACGAAAGTAGTACGTGATGTCCACTTTCGCAGCTGGGGCTCGAAAATCGCATTTTTTAAGTACGAAAGTAGTACGCGAAGTCAAGTTTCGTGCTTGAAAATCGCAACTTTTAAGTGCAGATATAGATGGATAGATAGATCGATAGACAGATAGAAAGAGAGATGGAGAGAGAGGGATAGATGGATAGATAGAGAGAGATAGATAGATAGATAGATAGAGAGAGAGAAGAGAGCGAGATAGAGATAGATAGATAAACAGATAGATAAATGGATAGATAGATGGATAGATAGAGAGATAGAGAGATAGGTAGATATATAGATAGAGAGATAGAAAGATAGATAGATAGAGAAGATAGATAGAGAGATAGATAGATAGATAAGCAGATAGATAGATAGCACGAGAGATAGATACATAGGTAGAGAAAAATAGATAGACAGACAAATAGATAGACAAAGAAGAGACAAAAGAGAGAACAGCGCAAAAACAAGCAAACGAAAGAAAGAAAGAAAAGAAAAGACAGATAGAAAGAAGGAAAGAAGGGAGGAAGGAAGGAAAGAAAGGAAGAAAGGAAGAATGACGGGGAAAAAGGAAACAATGAAAAGGAAGAAGAAGAGAAAAAGAGTCAAGAAAAGAAAGAGAAAGGGAACTATAGTTTTTATATTTTTGAAACTTCCGCCCCCCGGCCCTGCCGGACCTTACTTGTATATTACATATATGTGCTTCTGGGACTGTCCTGGAAGCGGGGGGGACCTTGGCTTCCTAAGTGGCCCTGTCACTGGAGGGGGCTGCGATTCTCTCAATGCAAAATTGTCCGAGATCCTACGGTTGCTTGAATGTACAGCGATGCTCTTCTGGGAGTGTCCTTCAGCAGCCAGCCAAAGCAGGCGCGGAAACGATGGAAGGTTACTTCTTTGGCTGTCTTTGAGAATGATCACATGAGCAGGAAATCGATGGCCCTTGTCCGCACACCAACGCGAAAATGAGCCATTTGGAGGTTTGATACCGTTCCCGTCCTGTGTTTTTCTGCCGATCCATCGGCCAAAACACATGCGGCCTGAGCCCTAGGAAGTGACTGCAAGCCGTTCTGTTTGTGCTGGGCTGAACAGCAGACGAGAGCCATTTCGGAGACTCAGTGACCCTCTGGTCTTTAAAGGGGCAGCCATCATTTTGAAAGCCCAGATTTGTCAACTCAGTTCCGGAATCAACCAGCCCAACTATTCGCTCTTGCTCCATTTTCTCGCAAGAGGTCCCTTCACTTCAAACTGAACTTCCACGAGGTCTTACCCTCTCTCCCAAACTGTAACACTGCCCTGCCGTGAAATGAGCATGTCGAGAAAACTAAATTCGAGTACAGGTCCTGCGCTAGTCCAATGTAGTGCGGTCTTTAGAATTGTTCGCGCTTTGTGAGTATCTTGATGTTAGGGTGCTTGACAGTCCTTTCGGATTCTGCGGATTTCCTTTCACAAATCGCCAAATCGCCTGATGCTCGTGCTTCCAAGAGGAAGCTCACCGGGGATGGATCATGGTTCACTTTCTCTGGCCCATCCAGGATCATCACCACCACCAGCATCCTTCATTTGCTTGATGCATGTTGCAATCCGGATTGCTCCATTATTATGTTTGGAGACTGCAGATGCGGTTTGGATGTCCTTTCTCAAAAGAAAGACAGCATGCGGCGAGTCTCACGTTGACTTCTGGTCAAGTCCTTTGCTGGATATTCCTGTCACTCATCCGGTGCCACCCCCCCGTCGAACCCCTAACATCAAAGCGTTGCGTCTAGGTTTCCCTTGGCCACCATGTGGGAGTCTAGACACTTTCCGAAAAACATTGTTTAATTCCAAAAACAAACATGAACAAAAACAAAACACGAAAAACAAAACAAGAGCCCTGTCCCCCTCGCGGAATCCTTTCTAAACCATCTACAAACACAGGGCCGTGTCACCCCCGTCCACCTCACAGTGGCCGCCGATATGGCGAGGCATGGGAAAACCAACAGGGTTCCTCATATGTCATCTGTAAACATCACCCGACCGGTGGACAACTCAATCAACAGCCCAAAAGGTAATCCGTTGCCCCTGATGAATCAAGGTCCGCCAAATCATCATATTTCTTTCCAAACCCCGACAGGCCCAACATTAAATTGGACGAGGCCAACTCTAAACCACTACACCGATATCTTTTTAGCGACCTCTCCTCCAGTCGCAGGGAACCGGCACCCGCCGAAGCACGAACCAATAGCTCGTGAACTTGCCCTTTCTTCCCTAATCCTTTTCTTAAACACATTCTGGAACATGGTTTGGCTCATGTCTGGAACCCGAAGCGAACAAAACACAAGACTTGACACCCCAATCCCGAGTCATACAAATTGACACCGGGTAGTTTTCTATATATATTTTTTTGGGGGAGGGTTCTGTTTAAGTTGGGAGAACGGAACTATGTTCAATCCGCCTAGAAGGTCAAAGATGAGGACCCCTGGCCCCGGTAAAAGGCCGTCTTGGCCAGTCTCCGAGCCCGTCACCATGGGCAGAGTTGAACAATCCCAAGCCTGGCCGGGACGTTGCTGTTGCTGGGGTTCCTCCTGAGCCCTTGTTGTTCCTTCTATTTGCTTAAGTCCCCTGGCAAAAACACTATTCGGTAGTCGAACTTTCAAGAACAAGGGGGGCCACGCCGCAAGACCCACAACCCCCTTCATACTATTTCATACTGGCATGCTCGAAGACTTGAAATTGGAGGTGCCTGACATACAATGTGTCTTCCTAGCGACAGCTGTGTTATCTTGGGCTTTCGTGTGCTCGGAGAGGGTATCAAGCAGGCAGGTATTACGGGGAGAATTGGCGTCAGCTTTGCTTTTTCTTTGCTTGTTGTGCACTTTCAGTTGGGCAGATGTGGGGCGTCTTTGTGTATCAAAGGCCCCAAACCACATTTGGGTGAAGGGTGGGGCTTTGGGCCGCTCCTGAACTGTTGCGTTGATCCTGGGGCCCTTGGCTTTTGTTGGACTTCAAATTTTTACTGGTCCGAAATTTGGGCTCTCAGCCAGCTAGCGAACAGGGCTTCGCTGAGTTGGTGCAAAAGAGAAGGAGAGAGATTAGAGAGATCTAAGCTGGTTGACTTTCCCTCTCCGGGCTAATAACAAGGTGTTTGACCAGGACTCTCCATAACACAAACATCCTACAAACTCTCCCGTGACCCAGCCCTGAAGTCTTGAAGTGATCTTCTTGGACCTGGCTTTCAACTTGCACAACAAGCGGCAAGTCAACAAAACGAGGGATACATTTATCTGAGATATTTATCTGGGTAAAAAAGAACAACACACACACAGCACAGGTTCCAAACAGGCTGTCTTCTGCCGGGTGAAAAAAGCACAGACCTTGCTGATTCCCTCCCTGTTGTCAAGCATGGGATCGCCTCGTGACCATTCAACCACACCAATCAAACCAAACCGCACTGGAGATTTGTGGGATGTACCTCACAAATGCCTGCCCAAACTGGGACAGTCCTGGTCTGAAGCAGGGAGGGCTTCCCCTTCGCCAACGCGCACCATGTCCCCCGCCTGCTAGGAGCGCATGGCGCATCGCCCGGCTATGGTCTTCCAAGTCCGTAATTTACACAGATAGGCAATCGACTGAGCGACTCAGTGCTGCTTGTCTTGAAGGCTTTGAAGTTCAATTCAGTGTTGCGCGGCTGTGTGCTTGCTGGCGTGCTTTAGAAACTAATTCTAACCCTGTGCCTGGCTTTGTGCAACCTGTTCTGTGGCTTACATTAACTCCTGGCAAATCCAATCAACCTGAAAGAGCCACCGGCGATACAAGTTCTTGAACACTCATAATACAAAAGTGAACAACTCGCAAATGCCAAGTGAGCTCTTCCCAATTCATTGAGCCTTTGGTTCTCAGGGCTCGCTGGATTTCCCCTTCAACAGCTCCAAATTACTGAAACCTTTCATTCAATCTGCCACCTGGCTCCAAGAAGGGTCATGGCAAGCCCCACTGGCGTCAGCGGTCCGCGGTCCCCGAGGTGCTCATGCTTGGCCCATGGAACTTGGGCTGAGCATTTCGCAGCCGAATGCAGAAACTTACTGTGTGAACATATACATATTATATGCATATGCTAGCCCCCCCTCAAACCAAAAGTAAAAAGTAAAACTCCCAAAAAGTAAATGTTGTCTTACCTCAGGGAGTCTTGCTGTTCCACTTTTACCATTAAAGTAATCGGTTCCCCCTAATATTAAAGCGTGCCCCCACCCCCTAAAAAAAACTCACTCAAAAATAGACATGTTTAGATAAGGTAGTTTGAGTTGTAATACAAAGTATTTTCCTTCCCCGACTCAACAAAGCTCACAGAATGCTTTTTTGAGCAAGGATTTGAGTAGCTCGGACTTCTTTTCTTTTTCTGCTTCCCCTGGGTCGAGTAATTACGTAAGAGGCAGGTTGGTAGCCGCATGGTTCGGGTTGGGCGGACCCCTAATACAGCTCGAGTTGCGGACACGAGGGACATTCGCTAGTTTGGTACTGCTTTTCAACTGGCCTACTCTGAATTTAGGATTCCCGAACCTGGAGTTTGGCAAATATGTTTCATTTTTACCGCGACCTGGATTATTGGAAAGAAGGGAGAAACATGTAAAAAGCAAAACTTTTGGAGTCATGAAAAGTAAAAAGTGAAACTGCCAAATGGGAAACTAGGGAGTCTTTACTGGTTTACCTCTAAGCAGCAAAAGTAAAAGCAGTAACCTCCCAAAGTAAACTCGCTTTTTGCTTGAGGCAGTTTTATGTTTCACTTGTCCTTGGTCCAAACCTTTGATGTTGTTTGTGTTTGTACCTTTTCTGGGGGCAAGTACAAACAGAAGTCTGCCTGAAGTCAACTCAGCTTTACTTTGGGGAGTGCGACGTGTTTCGGCTTTTTGGGGAAAGTACAAAAGGACAAGCTCCCTGAAGTAAAACGAGTGTTACATTTGTCAGATACTCTGTTTACTTTTCATGCGACCACACGTTATACCCGCAGAAACGTTTCTCCTTTTCCCGGCAGAAGTATTTTTGTTGCTGGCTTAACCCGCTCTACGCGGCGGACAACTAAGGCTTAACAAAGCAAATCCGTATCGGAATCTACAATTGCCGAGCAAATGCCAAATCAATATTAAACTGGTGCTAAGGCAGCTTTATGTTGTTACTTTCCCCAGTAAACCTAAAAAGTACCCCCCAAAACAAAACTGTGCTCAGTTCAGCCAGTTTTACTTTGCTACTTGTCCCCAGCAAAGATGACAAACGTAAGAAGTGAAACTGTTGGACTCATGAAAAGTAAAACAGTGAAACTACCGGAACTAAAGCACAAACACGTCTTACTTTTAAAAGTTGTATTGTTTGTTACCTTTTTTGGGGGGCAAGTAAACCAGTAAGACTTCCCGGAGTACAACATAGTTCTATTTCTACAAGTTGGTTTACTCACATTTCATGGGACAAAATTTGTACATGGTTCCGCATTATTGATAAATAGTCTCGAACAGTTCTCTTAGTTTTTGTTATCCATAGTTTCAAATAGTTTCTCATGGAAAACAGAAGGCCCAAATAAACACGCCCATGTTGGTCCTAAAGCAAACAAGTAAACAAGTCAGACATTTGGACCCATCAGCACACAGGAATACTGGCTGAAGTAAAACAACGACTTTTGGGTTTCAAGTTTTTACCACTTGGGAAAAGGGGTAAAGCTGCTTGGAGAAAGACACAATGTTTTATTGTTGGGTGTTTACTTTTTCGCTTTTACTGGTAAAACATCCTGACTGAAGCAACACACATCTTACTTTTAGGCCGTCTAACTTTTCACTTTTCATGGCTGCAAACGTAAAACGGTAAGACTTCCCCGACACAAAACCACGTTTACTTCTGGGAGTTCTATTCGTTCAACTTTCATGGAGCAAAAGCTTTACTTGTTACTTGCTTTACTTTTACGGGAGAAGGGTAGAAACGTAGAGCTGCCACAAATAGAAACAAACGCATGGTTGTAAGGTTTTCGTGTGTTTGTCCAGAAAGATGCACGTTTCGTACAGGGATATTGCCCTTGTGTGTGTGCATTTGTCCACTGTTGGAGCAAACACATATTCATGTTTGCAGCGTGTTTGCAGTTGCAACGGTACGGGGCACAGAGTTACCTCAAACAGACTGCCACAGCTGCACCTGCCAGCAGAAGGGAATGCATGCGCCGCTCCCCATTTTACCCGATGCCCATGCTCCCGCAATGAGCCTTGCAGACCCAGCTGCCAACCTGCATATTCATTTGAGGATTCGGACAACGGACCATTGATAATCCTTGTTGGCTCAGTAACCCACCATTCTGCGCTGTTGCCCCTGTGTGTCGCGCAATTGTAGTGTACCGAATAAGTCGGCATAGCTTGTAATCTAAAACCACTAGTCTAATATGCCATCGTACAGAATCCGAATAGCGGATCTTGCCCCACACAAACGTTTTCACCCAAACCCGGCTCACAATCCAAAAGGAGCAAATAAGGAACCATGCAATGGCTGTGTTTCAGTACGTCATGTGTGGTGCTCATGCAGTGTCTACAACATCCACGGCAATGGCTCTCACATGCAACATACGTCCTTGCATTCACGCACAAACACACAAACACACACACACACACTCACTTGCCCAAAGGGCCTGGAAACAAAGGCTACCCTGTTCGCATTGATGGGAAGTCTTGCAAAAGCATGAATCTTGAAACACCGAAAACCAAATAAAGTTGCGGCTGGCAGCGATTTGCAACCGAGAGTTGCATGAATTCTGGTGGCACGAACACCTCTCACTCCTCGTCGTCCTGGCAGCTCTCCCGGCGTCGCGACGGGCCAAGGGCCAAAAGGGCGACAACCAACCAACAAAAGCCTATGTAAATGTATGGGTTCGTCTTTGACACCCTGCAGATGCGGCCAAAAAAGAGAGGGCGACGCACGTCGGAAGACTTTCCAACAAAAGTGAATGATGAAAGAGCCTAAACACCTTGACTTGCCACTTGATTGCCATCCCCTCATCATTATTTTTCTCAGGATGGTGAATAATCAGACGCCCGTGATGTTCCTACTTTGAAAGCCTTTCCGCAGCATAAAACAGTCACAAGGAAACAAATCTATGACAAAACCGCCAGGAGTCAGAATCCTCTGATTCTCTGGCTCAACTCTTGCTTCCCCTTACCACCGGCTAGGCCGCCGCGATCGATCTCCAAAATCGCGTCAGGCGCCTCCGCCTCCCCCTCCAGGAAAAGCATCGCTGGCCCCTGACCTCAGAGTCGGAGCGGCGAAAACGCTGGGGGATGCCGGGCGCAGTGGTGGCAAAGGAGTGCATGAACCAACAGCACAAATAAAATCACGCACACAAAACGCAGACAAAACGCAAAAGTCGCAAACACAAAGGAGATCTCGAACACAAGGCAAACACAGCCGCACCCACACACACACAGTTGTACATGCAATGCGCACTCACACAATGCGCACACCTGTTGCAAACTGCTGCACATTGCTTGTGTAGAATCCATCAAGTGTATGGAAATGTAATATGTATGGGCAGCGCACAAGTTTGCACCCCTGTGAATGCCTGTTCCTTTCAAACAAACGCTGGATGCTGGGAAGTGAGTTGCAAACGCCAATGAAAAGCCCAAGCCCAAAACGGACTGGTCAACGACCTCATCGCATGTGGAAATGCGTCATCAAAGCCACGGGATATTGCATGGGGGAGGAAAGGCGCGATCTGCAAGAGATCTCAGAAGAATTAGGCCCTCTTGCTCAGTTGGGTCTTCCCAGATAATTTCCATTCAAATCACTGATGCATGCAAACGCCACAGCAATGTATGTGTGCGTGTGTCTGTCTGTGTGTGTTGTTGCTGTTGTTGGTTTGGCGTTGCTCTGTGTTGTGTTTCAAAACACCCAAAGGAACAATCCCAGCGAAGCTCCCGAAACCTGCGGTTAGGCTCCCTGCGGTGCGCGAGGAAGATATGGTCCCCGTCGCGCAAACCCACGCGCTGCGGCAAGCTGAAGCCTTTTGGAACCTCCGGTTCTCAACGGGACGGGTGAGGCCGAACATGGGGCGCAGCCCCAAAGCTATCCCACCCCGAAAAGGTGCCTTCAAAAAAAGACACCCCCATGGTCCGTCTTTAAAGATGTTTCTTTTGGATGGTGTAGGAAAGCACAAACAAACCGCCCCAAATGGACAAACTTACGGCCGATGGTGTGGGCCCGTGGCTCTTTGGGAAGTAGGGCAAGCGACAAACAAGTTTCTTTTCGGCAAGTAAATCAAGGTTGATTGCTTAAGGAAAAATCAGGGCCCCGTAGCAATGGTTCATGCAAGCTATTCTCCAGAGTTGCTTCGCAAGGAATATTGCAATAACCAACTCTGGCTGAATAACCCTCACAATCGGGTCAACTTGCATGTCGCTAGTAACAGATTTGGCAATGATCTGAAACCCCAGGCGAAATTGAGTGTCTGAAATTCTTGACCTGAACAAAGCCTGTGGTACGAAACTGAGAAGAGGGTGCAACAAAACCTGCAATGGCCGTGCTACAAACTCGCACATGTCACTCAAAAACCATACATCATCGAGGTTGATAATACAACAAATGGCATCTAAATCTCCGTGAAACCATGCGAGGCAAGAATCACCCTTCAAAGAAGCAAGATCCTCAGGTCCCAGCGGAGAGATTATGTTTGAATAGGGATTCCCTTCAGGCGTTTGGGTGGACATAAAGCCCTGTGTAAACGCCTCTCGCCAACCTTGAAACCATCTGCAATGAGATCAAGAACAAGCCATTCAGTGCACAAAGTGGACAGTTCCAACATGGTGCGTGCTTTTGTTGAGGGCACTGGGGTTCCGGATGGCTTAAAAGGGAAATTAGGAGGAACTTTTTCACACACGACAACGTGTAACTGAAGAATGCCCCGAAAAGGCTCCGTAAGCAAATAAACAGCACATGCCCTGCATGTAAAAGGAACAAACAACGTGAACCCCCGCGACAATCATTTTTAGAGGCATCTCCTTTTGGAGAGCAATTTTTGGATTCCATGTTCATTTGCAGCAGATCAGTCTGTTGGTCTTTCGGGCCCATGACACCATACCAAACCTGGACTCCAAATGCTCAGATCAGCTCAAACTAAGGATGGGCTCTAGTCAAAAAAACAACTAGAGCAACTAGCTGGGGAGATTACGATTTCTACCGAAGTAGGATTCCCACCTCCATGACCACTTTACCGCATGACGACTCTCAGAAGGTTCATTCAGAGAAAGTGGCAACCTAAACCCTGGTTGGCTCCAAAAAAAAGGACCCCGAAATAGGCAGCTGCGGATTTTTTTGTTTCAAGAGCACGTGATGCTCAGGCCAAGATGGGGCCGCGCCGAAGCGCCTGCGTCTCGTTCACAAAGGTCCCGTTGGAGCTGACATCCTGGATAGCTGCGAAGACACAGGGAGTGGTGCCTTCGAAATGGGCTTAACTCGGTTGCTTTCTGCACCCCTGCTAAAAGTTTAACTTTTAGTGGTTTAATACGGAAAACCCATGAGTTAGCAAAAAGTTAAAGTCCTAACATGTCCTAACAGCCAAGCAAAATGCACCAAAGAATTGGTTGGACACCCTACGTGCTGATCCAGCTCGGGTCACTGACCATCAGGTCCGGAGCAAAGTGGTACCGAAACTGAGTAAGAAAATCGGAACTTGCACAGGTTCAATGATCAACATGACATTGCTTTCAAAAGGTCTGAGGCTGACTTCATTCCGCCGACCCTCTGCCTCCCGTCCCAGCCTCCTGCAGAGAGGACCGGCGTGGGATGCAAATGGAATGAAGTGATTGGAATCCATGGGGGGCACGCCCGAAAGCACAAAAAATGGATTCCCAGGACCGACCAGTCCTGGAGCCGGTCCTGGGACCGGTCCACCCGGTTCTCTCATGCTTCGGAAAAAACCGGCCCTGGGACCGGGACCGGACCGGTCCTGGGATCCAGGTTTGGTCCTGGGCCGGTGCCAGGACCGGTCTTTCAGGACCAGTCCCAGGACGGGTCCAAGCCTGGTGCGATCGCGCTCCAATGTCGCTGTTTCCGGACTGGCACCGTGTTTCAGGACCGGAGAGGGTCCCAAGTCCCGGTCCCTGCCTGCGACCGCGGTCGAGGGCACTGACGGCCTTGTTTCTACTACCACTCCCGGGCCAGCTCGACGTGACTTGGGCGCAACCGGCCCGTGCGGTAATTGACGGACGAGCTGCCATCTTTCTGACTTTTCCGTTAATCCTTGTGGTAGTCAAGGATCCCTGGATCTATTCTGCAAGAGAGTCCAATACGTCGATGCTCCCGGTCCCGGGCCAGCTCGACGTGACTTGGGCGCAACCGGCCCGTGCGGTAATTGACGGACGAGCTGCCATCTTTCTGACTTTTCCGTTAATCCTTGTGGTAGTCAAGGATCCCTGGATCTATTCTGCAAGAGAGTCCAATACGTCGATGCTCCCGGTCCCGGGCCAGCTCGACGTGACTTGGGCGCAACCGGCCCGTGCGGTAATTAACGGACTAGCTGCCATCTTTCTGACTTTTCCGTTAATCCTTGTTTGTGGTCGTAGAGGATCTTGTAAGTGGTCCCTGGGTTTGCGGACTGGCACCCGTGTTTCAGGACCGGTCCTTATGACTTTTCCCTTAATGCGCCGAGGGAGGATTTTTAATCCGGGCGCCACGAGCCCGTGGTTTCCCCGAAGGCCTTCGGTTCCCTCAACTGAAGGTTATAAGGCTCGCGCCGGTCGATTCCGGTTCACTCCCGATTCACTCCCGGTCGATTCCGGTTCACTCCCGGTCGATTCCGGTTCACTCCGCCTTCACTGCTAAGGGGCGAAGGATTTGTGCATTTGTTCAGGCGATTTTTGACGACTTGTTGAGCATATCACCTGCATCGTCCGCATCCATGGCGGACATTGATGCGGATAATGCAAGTGATGCGGGGGATGCTGGGGATAATGCCAGTGATGCGGGGGATGCTGGGGATGTTGTCCCCTAAGTCGGGCCAATTTTGCCGAAAACGTGCAAAAACACAGTGGTTTTGAAGGTTTTTGGCGGGTGCAAACGTGGACAGTATGGAAACCTGCTTAGCAGGCAGGCTTCAACGGTCCCGGCCGAACTCGATGATTGGTAGGATTTTCCGTGAACCGCAGAAAAACACTGTGTTTTCGATAGTTTTGTATGGATTCAAGGCCGCGCGCAAACGTGGAAAATGTGGAAACCTGCTTAGCAGGCAGGGCTCAACTCTCCCCGGCCAAACCCGATTTCTGGCAGGGTTTTTGGTGAACAAGAAGAAAAACCACGTTTTTTTGATGGTCTTGTATGGATTCAAGGACGCGTTGTTGCGAAAACCATGAAAACACGTGGAAAACTCATGCTTTTCGTGGCGCCCGGCTGTCAGCCGTAACGTAAGCCCTTAAATCCGGCTACGCCTTGTGGGGTAGCATGTCGCCGCTAGGCAACTTGCCTGCTAGCTTTAGCTATAGGGGCTGCACCCTGGTGCCGCCGACCCTCGTCGTGATGCGCTGCCTAAATCCGGCACCTCTGCATCACCAGCTCGGGCTTGCGGTTTTGCTTGCCTGTGGGAAACCCTCGCAAAACATCGCGTATATGCAGGGTTTAGGCCATGTGGCTGACATCATCAGGGTCTGGGGTTGGGCCTGGGTGATGCTTCAGCGGGGCTTGGTCTGCATCATCAAGACTTCCTTCCAAAAAGCCTCTCAACCCATGAAGCACTGTTTTTTAGAAGGTGTCGGAGGGATATAAGCGAGGCTCATTTTCGCGCAGTTTGGCGCCAAGCGCTGCCGGGCATGCCGGCGATGCTGGGCCCTCGCTCTACAAAACGCTGTAGATACCGTCAAAAGCTGCTGTGCTGAGCGGTTTGTTGTTGTTCTGTCCGTTTTGCTGTTGCTGTGTTGGTTTTCGGGCCTTCTGGCGCGCGCGCACGACCCCAGCCACAAAACGCTGCTATTTACGGTGTGTTGTTGCTTTTGCGTTTCCGGGCTGGCTTGCGGGCTGCTCTTTTTGGGCTGCTTTTTCTGCGCGCGCGCGCGGCCCCATGTCAGCGTTCTGGGTTGGGGCCCCGCTGGGGCCCAGAAAGCTGGCATCCCCTGCATCATCTGGGGTTGGGGTGGGCAACATGCATAACCTAACCAACCATATCATAGCACAGAATATGTTTCTCATACAAAAAACATGACATGACATGGTATAACTTCAAAGAGGCGTAGCCGGCTAGAGGCCGCAGGCCCAGAAAATAGTCCCTCGCCCCGATCACATTGTCAGGGGGGAAACTAACAGTTATGTCTCACCAAAATCCATCGGAATGGCGTTTGGTATTTGATACCCCTTAAAGCTGGCTTCCCTTCGGGCTTCCTGCAACAGTTAAAAGACAACGGAAGTGGAAGAGTATATGAGACTCATGCCAAGGGTGCAACGTGGTCATACCAATTGCAATTGAGGCAAGCCCGGAATCGAAGGACTAAAAACTAGACTAGGCATGAGCTAGTGCAAGCAGTTGCATCTGGGTGTTCAATAGGGGGGCTGGAAGGTAAACAAATACAAATAAGCATATCCATTCCCTTTTCACTGCATCCTTGTGGACAACTTGCAAGAAAAAAGGGGGTATCTGCTGTGTCCATCCACAATTCAGCACCAGCTGGTATGCGGTTTCTCTGAACATTTCTTGGGTGATTTTGTCCATCCACAGTAGCACGCAGCCCAGACCATTCCATCCGCATCTTCCCGACGCGTCCTCCAGTTCCACCCCCAGCTCTGTGCAGACCAGCACTACGTGGCGACCTCGACTCAACGTCGGAAGCAACGAAGCAACCTGCCGAGATGGATCAGGGCCCAACTCTGGGGTGACAAAAATGATAGGTTCAAAATATGTTTTGTCATCTTTAGCCTACCCCAACAAAATAGCTTGGAAGACCATAGCTTTTTCTTGGGTGTCCTTCCCCCGAAACATCCCAACTGAATGGAACACCTGTTGAGTAAACCAGAAATCTACAAATCCTGGGTCAACACAAGTCAAGAAAAGCACTGCCATCCGATTCGACAGATACTCTGGATAGATGCTATGGAGAAATTAGGCATCCCCCAGTGCGCAAAGGGAAGCCTGAAGGGCCCTGCCAGTTTTGAGGATCCGATTCTTTGGAACTGGCGGCGCCTGCCTGTGATCCGGGACCAACCCAAACATAAAGGAAACTAGATTGCAACTGGATCACCTGGACTTGGTATGTTAACAACAAATATCGCGTGTAGCCAACTGAAACGAACAAACAAAATAGAACAAACAACTACATACCCAGAATGCAAGAGCTGACAATAGTTTGCAAATACAATATACCAACACCAGCGTGCGAGAAGCAAACTCGAGCCAATCCAATATGAACCTTCCCAGAAGTTTCAAAAGGTTTCTCTTTCCAGCAACAAGCAGGGTAGAGAGGGAGGGAAGGGTTCCCAAAAACCGTGTTCTGAGGAGGTAAAGATATATACAAAGATATATATACATATATATAGATGCAAGAAGGGCTCCCAAAACCGCGTTTTAGGGAGGCACAAACATATCGGGATGCCAGGCAAAAAGGGCTCGCTTTGTTGGGAGGGGGGCCAGAATATATAGGCATGCAAGAAGGGCTCCCGATAACCGTGGCTTTGCCAGGGAAGGGGGGGTGGGGGAGCTCCCAAAACATGCGGGCAAACAACTGTATTTTCAGGAGGGAAATGGTTCATCCTGGCAAGAACCATGCAGAAACCGAAACCGCGTTGTAGGCGGGAATTAGGGCCAAGGCTCATTTTCAACGCATAAGTTTTTTGTACGCGTGCATGCAGTGTGGGCTTCCCCACGAAGGGATGTGGGGCCCTGTAGGGGCGCACAAAAGGGGTTCTGTTTTGGGGCGCAACTGGGGCTCCCCAAAAAACGCGTATCGCAGGGCAAGGAGGGAGCAGCAAGCGTCAAGCGAAATAGGAGGCCGTGTTATTGGGAAGGGCATGGACGCAGGCAATATTGCAGGCGATGCTGGGGATGCGGGACCCATCAGATCATCTGCATTGAAAATTCAAGCAACCAAAAGCTGCATAAGATGCAAACAGTGGCAGCTGGAACCTGCATTAACATCTGGGTGTTCGGTCCACATGTTGAGCTTTTCCCCCCGACTTCGCCCCCTTGCGAATTCCTCTCGCGATACTCTACCATATCGGTGTGAGATATGGTTGGGATACATGTCACCTGCCTAGCAACGCGCCATGTTGCTTTCTTGACCCTGGTTGCAAATCAGTACTATGATCACTGTCGCGTGTGGTCAATTGTGGCAGCCCTGGTTGCCGCATCGACAGGACATATTGAAAGCTGCTCAGCAAACGGATGATGCTTAGTGTCGCAAGGGGTTGCTTTGAGCAACGCTGTCTAGCAACATATGTTCATGGATGAAAACAAAGGGACTGTGTCTAGTTGTGTCATATCCGGCCAAGCAGAATCAAGCCTCACTTACACGCAAGTGTCATCCTGATAGATTGCTATGAAATCCACAGAAAGATCAGCCGGTGAACAAATCCTTCACAAACACACAGACACACAGACCACTTTGGCTCTATGTCGGTATCCCCCTCTCTGAAGCCAGTGAAAATGACATTAAATGCACGGCTGAGGCAATGTGGACTACTACCACATCATCCGAGGTAGTTATACCCCTGTTGGACTTTGTGGGACAACCATTTGCGCGGTGTGCCCTCTTTGAGGCTTTTCTTGGGTTTGAAGGAAACCCAGAAGGCCACCCACCATTGTGGGGCTTCTTCCAGTTTGAGACAGGACAAATCCATAATATAGTGCTTTCCGACTTTTGCACATGTCATGAAAGGCCGGTCCCAAGCCAGTTATACAATTTTGCCAGCTTGCACATCCTTCTCAAACTTGCTTTCAAGAACCTGCCAGGCATAAAAGGTCCCGACTTAGACTCCCAAGTATCCTGGTACAAACCATGTAGCAGGCTTACCACCAAACAGGGCCCTCAAATGGAGGTCCATTATCATCTCCAAACAAAACAACTGGGCAGGGCAAAAGAACATACATGCCTCAGTCTGTCTCAGACGGGTCAACTCTGGTTGACGGAAACTCTGCAACAAACACTGCGTGTGAAGCTACAGCTGAACAAACATGTAGAATTCACCCCAGGATCTGGCGTGCAAGTTATTGAGAACTCACCCACAACAATCAGATGTGATGCTTATAGTAAACATGTTGAGTTTTCCGTGGATGCACCCCCCTGCAAGTGGTCTTGGTTCAATCGAAAGCATGAAGTTGCTTGTTTGCTACCACCACCCCCGCTGGGGACGTCTCGCGTTTCAGTTGGCGCAGCAAACCTGTGGCTCCGCACCACTTACCACAGACCTTGGGATCACCACCTGATGCAAGAGAGAGGCCCAGTGTACCAGGACATCGTACCAAGGGCAGAAAGCAGACAGGAGTGCATTTCACCCCAAAAGCTAGCTTGCCGAAAATAAGGCAAGAGTTCAGGCCCCGGAGACCGGTCCTCACCTGAATGACAGCAAACCTTTCTACTTCACATTGTCGTTTGTTGTATCTGTATTTTCTGCGCCGCCCTGGGCGTGTCCGGCCAAGGGGTCAGCCAACAAAAATCGGGTTCCGTTTGGTTTGAGCAACAGCCACAGCCACGCTCATTTCAAGGACTGGCCAGTTTCGGACAAGGGCTGGATGCGCGAAACAAGCACTAAATGATTGAATCCGATGATGCCTTGCGTGGTCAAGAATGGAGCCGCCATTGGCACAAAGCGGGCATGTTCCTTGTTGCGCTGAATATCTGGCCGGTGCTGTTGTAAGACCCAACTGGAGATACTACAGTTGCAGTGGGACAATTTGTTAAGACTGCTAACGTCCTTTCCCTTGCCCACCCACCTTCCCCTCCCCCTCAGCCAAGGTCAACATGGTGACAGGATAAACATAAGGATGAACATAAAGATGAATAGACAGAACGTGCCAACCATGCACACAAAGCCTTGTTGATGTGGTTGCTGGCAAAACTAAGGAACTTTATCAGTAAAGCAAAAGGCTTATACTGACCTGATTAGCAAACAACCGACGCTCACCTAGGCCAGCGCAACTCGCTGTGGGCATGCCTAACTTGCACTATGCCCATTGCGCTGCTGGGCGTCTGGACCAATACCGCCTATCCATTGGCTTGTGGTTTCCTTTTCAGGAATAGCTATGCATACAATACGTGTATGACCCCACAGATCCGGCAAGCAAGCACGAACAAGTTTGTCTCACTGCTTCGTGGACGGAAACCAACCAACAAAGTGGCCCCCTCAAGTCCCCCGCGTTGGACTTTCGCACTGATTTGAAATGAACGCATCGTCCATGCAATTCCGTCCTTGCTTACCGCATCCCGCCACGTCGCTCACATTCTCACCTCGGCCCAATTCCTGGTATGTGCCGAATACGTGACATATATGTCTCAACCAGGGTTGCTTCAGTGGTCTGTGCCTCAAGAAAGCCAGCATGACAGGAAGAATTCAAAGAGGTAGCTGCCTAGTCTGACACATTGATACATACCATCTGCTTTGCAAAGACCCACTAGTAACAGCATCAGTCTCCAAATCACTGCGACCAACAAATCACTGCGACCAACAACTTAGCAACACACAGGCCAAGTTGCAAGCAAAATATGACTCCAAAGCCACTCTCAAATTAGTCCTCCCATGTCCTATGACCTCAGGATGTTGCCTTTGGAAAGCCAAAAAGAAACCAACCCTTCGACGGGTCCCACCCACCCGTCGACGCCTCGCAATCTTCGCGCCGGCCCACCGAAAGGATGCCATGCGCGGGCAAGAAGTGAACCTGGCTGTGGGACCCATATTCGCAGTGGTCTTATAGTTGTCTTCCTTACAAGCAAAAAAAACTGCTCAAGCACGTACCCTGGTTCTGTGCCTCTCACTGCATGTATATATCTATGCTGTTGCAGCTTGCCATATTTTCCCTGAACACTATTCCCGAAATGGTGGTTTCCTTTTGGTACGGGTAGTGTCTACAATCTGCCCCAGCGCGGTTGAGACCCGAGGTTGTGCTTGGGCTTTCTGTCTGCAGAGTGGCTTCATCCTCAGGCGGATGGATCCATATCAAGGGACAGCTGTCCGGAAAAGGTCTCTATCTTAAAACCTTTCGGGATCCTTTAAACACGGACCAGCTGGATCCAGGAGCGACCAGGATTCACGGCGCCAAAGTATCTGTGTGTTGACGACCTGGATACCCAAACATGCCTTCAGATCAATGCAGTGATCGAACATCAAGCACAGCAAACAAGGCCAATGAGCACTCGACGCCAAAACAGCCGAGCCTCAGGGCCAAACAAGTCGGCGTCTTTCGCGTGACGCGTTGCTCTTGGGCCGGGGGAATGGCGTGCAGTCACAAAGCACGAGCCTTTTCACAAGCCACGTTTCTGCTAGTAATACTTGGCTCTAAAGTTACAACAATGATGCGTGTGTATACATGATTCATGTATATATATACACTATAATCTCTCTATATATATATATGTGTATAGATATCATCCGAACATCAGTTGCAATCTTGATTGTCATCAACGAAGAAACTGAGACGCGACCAAGTTAAGAGTATCATGCTTGTTTTGGCCAAATGGGACTGTGTTTGGGTTCAGGTTACCATTTGGGGGCTGCTTTACAGAGAAGCCAATAAGAATAGTATTAGGACACATAGTCAGAATAATAATAACATAATTATAATAATTATTGAGGTCCCCTATTTTAACACACACCCACAATGGCCTTTACACTGAACACTTCTTGGTCTGAATTCGTGCTCCCGCCTTACCGCTGGACAAATCCACCAGCCGCGAGCCGCCAGCTTGCTCCTGGACATGCCGAAGGCACCCGGCAAAAAGGCATCGGCCACTTGCAACCCAATAGGAGAAACAAACAAACCCTGTCTGGCCTGTCCAGTGCTTGCAAGCCACCAATGTGCTGCTTTGTTGGTTCGTTGCTTGGAATGATTGAGTGAACTGGCCATCCCTTCATTGAAAAGCCAGTTAGCTGAAAATTTGCTCCCTGAACGCCAGCTGCTGCCAGCTGTCGGCTGATTGAAAAGCGACCCCGCCAAAAAGAGACCATGGGTGCCACTGCGAGGCCGGCTTTGCCTTTTGACGCTGTCTTCGGAGAAGGTCGCTTTCCTAAAAAGGGTCCCGTTCTGTTCATGGGATTGAATGATGGGATCAAATGCTTTGCCATTTCACACCGGCCCTAAAGATCACAGCTTGGACTTGGGCCATCGGCTCTAAGTTCGGCTTCTTGGAGCCTTTTTTTTGGTACAAATGACGTGTTGGCCAATTCAACTTCATATGTATATATATATATACAGATCATAAATCTCTATATATATATATGTCTACTTAATTTGCTGCTAGTTGAAACCAACTCGTCTCTTTTCAACTCTCCCTGCTGCCAAACAGCCACTTGTGCAACAAGCTCAGCGAAGCGGCCCAATCGGCTGATACGGAGCACGTCTCATCGCAACCCCGATTGCGCTACAGCTATATGCCCGCAAGATGGACAGTGCATATGCTCTCGCACCAACGTATTCATCTCCAAGTGTTTTTCAGGAAAGTGTCTCATGCAACCGAAACACGCAAACATACATGGGTTGTCTCTGACACACCTAAACTGGTTGGTAGAACCAACCAAAGGGTTGGGGGGAGTCCTGCCATGAAAACTCCAAGCGGGGACAGGCATTCCACTTTGAACCCAAGGCAAAGCACAGCCAAATCAACGGCCGGTGCACTGTAAAACAAGCGACGGTCGATTCTCAGCGGGAAGGGACATTTTGCAGGAAGTCTATTTCGGTTGAGCCCTATCAAACATGAGCAACGCTTCAGCCAGTTTCAACCTCATTGGGTCTGCCAGTCGACGGGCGGCCCTTCAAACACGGCTCAGTATGCAGTTGTGACGACCAGGGTGAACTACAAGCATCAAACCTGAAACAAGGGTGCCCCCAAGAAAGACCCCTTTGCGAGGTCGCGAAACCGAAACCGCATTGCGAGGTTCTACGTCGCCCAAGAAGAAACAACTTTTGCCACCTACAACCTGGCAGTAAAATTGCACTATGAGACTGAGCCCCTACAAACCTTGAACAATCCCGGCTTTTCATTGAGACTCATTTCCAGGCGCAGCGCCTTCGCATGCACAACCGCCAGCGCCACCTGCCATGCAAGGTCTGGCGCCATCGACTTCATTGCCATCCCGTTTGCCTCATGGTCATGGAGAGTAAAGGACAAGCCATTTAAAAATAGACCCCCACCTTAGTGCAAGGTGAAAACGGGTACCCATGGTACCCTCAAAACCCAGATAGACCTAAAGGAACTGCTGGTAGTTTGAAGGGAGCCCTCTGCAAGACTAGGAGTGGGCAAAACATGAGTGCACTGGGCGAGTTTGTCTTTGACAGCCTTTGTTCCGAAAAGGTTCCCAAAGATGTGCTACATGCATATTCAATGGTAGCTCAATTCTAGGAGACGCGAGCCTCAAATTCGCAGACTCCGGTTGGGAGTCAAGACATGAAGGCAGAGTGGCAAATAATTTATCCATTTATCCCCTGCTGCCTGTTCAGTGAATTTGCCTGGAAATTCGCATCACATTCCATTGTCCAACGTTCCCCTGCCCCTTCCCCCCTAGACTCCCCAAACAAGGCACTTCAAGATTGTGAGGAATTGATGCTTAACAGTGTAAAGGTGGTCTGGAGGAAAGCAATACCCGACCAATCCCCTTTTGTTACTGGCAACTATTCCAAGTATGGGCTATTTGGCAACAACTAAGTGCAGCCTGCCCCTGAGGATCGATGCAAACACTTTGAGCGGGTGCCAAAACTGAGGACAGGACCTGCTCTCTGTTGGTGCTTGAAGGAAAAACAAACAGGAAACCACTATTTTCAGGTGTTGCCTATTTACGAAACACATAGCTCTTGTGAAGTTTCAAAACGTGATCAAGAAGGACAAGTAGATGTATTGTTACCGATCCTGCAAAAGGTTGGGTTGTTGGCGCTGCTCAGTGACCACTTGCGGAGCGGTCAGGAAACCTTCTCAAAAAAGACAAAGCGGGCGACGACAAAAAGAGTACCCTCTCATAGTAATGCACCCAATCTGTATGGGTGCCCCATATGGGTGCCCCAATTGTGTTGCCGGGTTTCTGTCAGGAACACTGTCAATTTGTCGTTGGACCCTTCTTCGCCATTCGCTCGCCGAGCAATTCAGCATTGTGGAAGCCGGGCACGCTTCCCGCAGTGGGATTGGTTGCCAGTCCACACCTTGCAAAAACTCCGCCGTTGGACTGCTGCCCTAAGTGGCATCGAGCTAGGCCCGGCCGCATGCTCCAACCACTGTTTGTCACAGTACATGTCTGAAGGAGGGCAAACGCTCTTGCTGGATCGTGGACATGTAAACCAGTGGTCCGACTTGGACAGGTGAGCCATCCACGGGTTGTGGATGCAATCCATTTTGCTGTGCCATTTGGGGGCGCGGGGGGGGCAAAATACTCCATCGGGCTCGTAACCCGCATAACCTGTCTACAAATATAGCGCCCACCAGAGGGTCTCTTTAAAAGGAGGCAGTCTTCCAGGACCCCGCAGTCAGGCTCCGCATGTTAGTGGATGGGAGTTGGGAGGGTATCTAGTACCTTGCCAACCAAGCGATCATTTGGACACAAGTAGAGTCTGACTGTTCTTGTGGGGCGTCCTTTCGTCTGGAATTTGCGAAGAGATTTGTTATTTCAGGGAGTCCCTATGAGGTGCCCCTTGATTGGTGGTTTGTATTGGTGGTTTGGGGATTAGAACGTTCTTATAGAGAGCAAATGGGAAAAGCACCCCTTTACCTCGAAACCACCAATCCAAACCACCAATCAGGGCGAAGCTGGTATTCAGAGATATCATTCAGTCTAGGCCTTTGACTTACAAAGCAAAAGCCCGATCTGTATTGTAACTGCTTCTTATTTCTCTCATTCCACAATTTTGAGAACTCTGTTTTCGCCCGCTGTGCAAGACGATAGCGATTTCAGATGTTATTAGACGCTTACTCAGTTGTAAAGCATATATGTACAGCATCACTTGAGCTTCTTGTGAGCTAAGTTGGAAGTAACGTGCAGGGCTTGTTTTAGGCTTTTGCCTTATGAGCACCTGCTTGGTCAAAGATAGAACTTCCCCTCCCCTATACAAAAGGCCATTTCAATAAGACTTGGACACCCTTGCTGCAGGCAGTCCCTCGCTGCATGCCAGGAAGCCCTTCGCGTGTTCCGCTGATTGCAAAGTCACACAGGATCAAAGTGCCCCGAAAGGTTTTCGGCCGAAACTAGCGTTTCTCACAACACATCTGGTCAAAACTCCATGGGCCATGTCGCTTCCCCTGTCTAAACCGGTAGTCCGGTGTAAAACTAAAAACACCACCGCAACATGGGAGCAAGTCCAAAGAACAACTTGGAAGTCAGGTAGGAAACGAACCTGAGCTGTCAGATCCCCTGCTAAAAGTTTTTTGTTTTTTTTTTTGTTTTTTTTAAACTTTTAGTGGACTTAGTGGAAGCTACCGCTAAACCCTAAGCTAAAACCCTCAGGAACCGCATGCCTGGGCAACACCCGGGTAGCTCCAAAACCCCTCCACCGAATCCCCCCATCGGGAAGACCGAATCGAAGGCCTGCTCCAGAATCTTCTCGGCCTGCACCTGCAATCTGCGTTTTCCAATGCCCTCCCCCCAAACAAGCTGGTACTCTGCTCGTCTGTTTGGCCAATGGAGATCACCATGTTTTGGGACGTCCCGGATCTTGTCGTGCTTCAGAAAAGGGCCCTGCCTACGTTACAACTCAATCGTCACTGGAGTTTCAGCCGGGACGCTTCGACGAAGTAGCCTCTTTCAAAGAATTAGCTGTTTTTTTATTACTAAAGAATGGCCGCCCAAGGTCTCATAGCCACAGGCATGCCGTTTGCGAACGGCCATGGAATCTTGCGGTAGAATACTGCTAGCTGTGTCAAGCAGGTGTTCTAAACATTTCCATAAGTGATTCTAAGAGGGCCCCCTTCTTCACCTTGTTTGCTTTTATCTGTTGCTATTGAAAATCAAAAGACCTCCCTGGATTGCTGTAGGAAACTCAAGGGTCCTGCATTGCTTGCCTCAAGCAAATGCTCCGCGCATGGGTGGCAATTCCACAGGCACCGAGAACTTCCTTATCAGAGCTGCGCCGGGACTCGACAACGAGGTTCCCGCCCCCACCTGTTTTGCGTGGTTGCCGCAACATAGCTAAACTACATTATGGATTTCAGGCATTGACTGGTTTGCTGCAGGTTTGCAGCATATTCAGGAGTTATATAGCTGTGCTAACCAATCTAAGCATCGTTTGTCAAATTTGGTGCATCCTTTGCGCGGATTCCAAGCTGTGCTACAGACTTTGATTCTGAACAGCATTGGCATCTTCCACAGACTCAGCGACAGTGCTGGGCATAGGAGCTCAAGTCTAACTGTCTCTTGCACAGCTACGAGGTGGGAGGAAGGGGTACAGGTAAGTCACTAGTAACCAAATGGAACAACCTGCAACTGCCCCTGACCGGACCTCGTCCACAGGCTGCCCAGGCACCTGCATCTGTGACGGTCTACGGCTCGGGTGTGTAACTTTTTTCAGGGCCGCTTTGATTTGTGGAACTGACTTGCTTGACTGGATAAACACAAATAAAGGGAAACAAAAGGGCAACAATGAGAAAACCAAAGAAAAATCATAGGGAACCAAAAGAAAACACTAAGAAAACCCAAACGGAAACCCCCCAAGGGTTCCGTTGTGGAGACAAGCTGTCTGGGTTGTTTCCAAAACATGGGCATCGAACGACCAAACACAGTTGGTTTCCCCGGGCTTTGCCTTTCAGCCTCTGGGCCCCTTTGGTGCCAGGTTTCCCACAGTTCTATTAAGCCACGATGGATGTTAAAGTTCCCCACAAACCAATGCCTTTTACAAGGCTCATACAATCAGCAATTGATGCAAACAGGAACAATGAGCATGTAGCACACAAAGACGGTGACTAAATGCCAATGCGGCTGCAAATAAAGGTGCAAGACTGTTGTGGGGATTGCTTGCAGGGGAAGCCTACAAGAAAGTGACCCAATTGATGAAAACTGCAAGACCTCAACAACACCGAAAAATGAGTCACGACTCTATTGAGACTTCGTTCAAAGGAGAATCAGCAAGAGACCGACAGCCGTGAGTCTGTGGAACTCGCTTGCCACCCGAGAATCAAACATTGATTTGAGCAGTGGACAAGAGTGGTAAGATAATATGTTGCAGCTTGATCAGTATCGTATTTTAGTAACCCACCTTGGACGTTCTTTGAGTAACGTGACAGCCATGTCCACGTGTCTTGGGCAGGTCAAAAGGCTCGATTGGCAGCCAATAGCAAAGGTTCTTCTATTTTGATTGCGGCTTTCTTAGAAGAAGACCATGTTTGTCACGCTTATGTCATATACCTCTAAATATATTCCCCAACTAACATAGCAATCATACCTCCTTTTGCCCATTCACCAGCATGTGCGTGTGCGAACCGTCAGGTCGGCACCGCAGGTGCAAAGCAGCTCGGAGCCTTTCGGGACACCTTGTCATCCTCTTCGTCGGCTCCAGGTGCCTTGCAAACCGGGCAACATGAGTGACGCCATCTGTGGGAGTCTCTGACCTACACCGCCTCGCGGATTTTTCGCGGATTTTTCGAGGATGTGAAATCTGGAGCCTCCAAGACTCTCCCTTTCTTCCGGTAATTACCTCCCTAGATCATGCTGGGCCGAAAACCTATATACTGGTCTTCCGACACCCTTTTTCTGTGAGAAATGGGTCACCCTGCAAAGGTACATTACCCGAAATGATGTTGGTGCACATCAACTTTTTACTGCCCCGGTTCTTCCCCCACACTCGGCGCCCTTGGCCCCTATGGCCGTGGGGGGGTTGCTGGGGGATGCTACTCATACAGAGTGCGAAGCAGTGCGTTTTGGGCCAGTGATACACGTGCGATCAAAACAGGTTGCTGCCTCTGAAGTAGCCTTTGCTAACCAACAATTGATCAAAGCAAGCCCCGGCCAGAACTTGCAACTTGTTCTCTCTTCAACCACAAACGCCAACAACCTTTCGAAGAAAAAGTGCAGCATTCTCAGTATGTTCCCTCGCTTTGATACAAACACCACAAACGTAGCTTTCCACCTATCCATGTCAAACTCATATTGAGCACCTCCAACCATGCCACTGTCAAAGACCAATATCTACACCCCGCGCCAGCCGCTTGGCGGTGCAGATTCAAGCCTCAAAAAATCACCCCCCGGCTCAGGTTTTCTGCCGCTGACGCGGAAGCAGCGCCGCGCCTGGTCCACCTTTGGCGCCTGTCAAGCTGCTCAGTTGTTCAGTGACCCTGGAGAAAAAAAAGGGGACCTTTTTTTGGGAAGACCATTTTAGTGGGGCAGCCACCAAGAAAAAGGGGGAAAAAGGGGGCCACTGAACAACTGAGGCTGGTCTGTGTCAGGTTCTTTGATCTCTCACTTGTGGCCAGGAAGACACGAACACCCTATCTGGTTGGTTCATGCTTCAGAGAACCTCACAAAAAGGGACCGAAGCGCGCTGGCAGCTGAGTTCTGAACTGCAGAAATCATGCGGATGCTGCTAATGAGGGGCCATTATATAGGCTCAAGTGAGAACGGATATGAGTTAATCCCAAGGCATGTTGAGAATTGGGTCTTCCCTCCTGGCTTTGGCTGTGAACTACTCGTCTGTCCTATTTGGGGTGGCCCCCGTCCTGCCGGAAGAAGAGCGCGAGCTCGGTTCACCATAGCCCATGTGCCATTTCCCCAGCGCAAACCTACCCCACTTGAGGAGGCGAACGAAAGCTGGCAACTGTTGTATAAGTCCAAGTCAACGCTTGAGAGAGGGGGGTGAACCAGGGAGGGTTCGAGCCTGGGAAGAGGGGAGTGGGCCTAAATCAGCTAGCTAAAGCCAGCACCACATGGGTATATGTTCTTGCCACCGGGCAAATGAGGATGGTTCTATCAAGTTGTTTGCCTTTTGTGAAGTGATTCACACTTGCCAGTAGTTCCAACAGTAAAATACTGTGCTTGGGAGTTGTGGGGATTGCGCGCTCAACGAGTTCTCCTCATATGCCGATCCAACAAAGAGCAGCCACAGCTTCAGCTCGCCTCCCAAGGTCGACCAACAAACAGTCGAAATTGATGCCAAACAAGCCTCAAGTCCAGAAAGGGGGACACTGAGTGGGAGACCGTCTCCAAATTTTGTACGTTGCTTACACCTTGCTTTGCAATTCGATCAACCATGTTGACTCACTTTTCCGCGTAAGGCCTAAGTGCGAATTTCGCCACTTTCTTCCAGTGAACTCGCCTTCAAACAACTTCCCAAAAGGAAACTCGCTACAGCATCCACAAGTGATCGCCATGCCGACCTTGGTCCGAAGATCAGGAGCCATTTTTCGGAGAGCAAGTCTAAGCCACGACACCGGCCATGCGTCGCTCTCGCCTGGAAGTTGGGGTCCTTGGTCTTCCGACGCAGGCGTCGCTTGGGGCCCTGGCACAAGGCACCGTTGAACTCTACGCAGCTCCTCGTTCAACAAAATGGGATGCCAAAACAAAAAACGGGGGAACCCTGTGGCTTCAGGAATGCTAACCATGAGGCCACTATGTCGGGCCGCAAGTGTGACGGGGCACCTGGGCCAATACGGGGAGCATGTGTGTGTGTGTGTGTCTATCTGAATGGTTCGCGCCTGTGCTTGTGTTTCTGTGGGCAAAACAAAGGAGCGCCTGACATCTGTTCAATGGAACCAGGCAAAAGCCGCAAGAAGCGTCAAACATGAAAACACGCCGCCGAAATGCCGGCATATATTAGGGGCCACATGCCCCTAGTATATACTCATTTCCCCTATCAATTCAATACATGCACCCTATTAATATATATATATATATATTTATGTGTTTCGCTCCAAACTCTCAATATTCTAAACTAGATTAGGGCAATAATCAACTTTTTAAAAAAATGGCCCGCCGACGCCAATTGCAGTCGTGTTAGCGACTCGCCAAAACAAGCTGAATTTTCATTGTAACACCACATTTTGACGTGCTGGTTGAATTGCGCCTTTGAATGTTTGCCGAATCAACCAAGAAGCCTTGCGCGATTTCCTTTAAATTGCTTACTTAGCAAACTAAAAGGTTTGTGGTTGTTACGCCCAGCAAAGAGGGAACGCCATTTGGACGAGGACCGTAGCCGAACTTTCCTGGGACTTCCAGATACCCTCTTAACAAGTATCAAAAAATATAGTTCCGCCCGCGCGAGAAAAAACATGTGGGGCGGGGGGGAATTATGATTGGGGGAAAGTGATCCTGTTACATTAGCCCATTCTCCCTAGAATCCTGCACGATGAGACCTGCAGGTCTGCGCGGTCAATTATGACAGACAAATCCAAAAGAGCGTGAGAATTCACCATCCCACACCGGCCAAGCGGATTAATTTGATCCGCACTTGACCGATAGTGTCTGTTGAAAACAGGTAAGAAGCGCAAACTCTCGCTTGACTGAACTCTACCCTCTTTTTCCCCCTATACTGCATAGACAGGTGTGTGACTCGACTTAAAGGAAGTGTATGGCAGGGCAGCGTCATTGGAACATAGCCACCCTTGCCACGAAGATTCGTTTTTGCTAATCCTATTGTAGCTCGCCCTATCGTCAGACTGGTGAATTACGGCCCCCTTGAAAGTCCCTCTTCCGATCAAATCTGTCCCAGCTTTTGCCCCCAAAAGAGAAACATGGAACATAGCACTCTAGATTATGCCCCTCAAGTATACACCGTGAAGGGAGATATCCCAAACTGGTCAACCCTCATCTCCAGCCCTCCCCCCCACTCCCCCGCACCTGAAGTGACGGCCGCTTCTGGCCAACTGCAGGCGATGGCAGCACCTTCGCAGCTTTGGCAAACCCAACTTGGGCAAATTCAAGCAGGACAACCAGTCGTTTGGTTGAGTGCCAAGTTGTATTCCCGAAGCTGTGCCCGTGAGTCCTTGCTTGCAGATCTTGCAGATTGAAACCAAACGGAAAATTATGACAAATGCCCTTGAGCAGGACAGACACAACCAACTTTGCATTAAATAGGTTGTCCCTGGTAACATCTAGCGCACGGGGCAGCACTAATTCACCACTTCAACTCACCAAGTGAGATGTCGTGATCCCCATCAAGACTAGAGAGACGTCCTCCTGCCCTCGGGCCGTTCGAGTGTCCGAAACAAACATAACAAAACAAGAGTGCTCCAATGCCAGCCCTAGATGGACATGGGCTGATCAAACTTCAAGACGACCCGTTTTGGGTATCCAAGCTCTTCAAAGGCGGCAGACGGCAAGACCACCGGTCCATCACACCAGCGGCTCCTGGTTTTTTCGGATCCTACCACATGTTTCTTCGAATCGGCAAGCCTCCAAGGCCCCGAGGCCCACTGGAGAATGAACAAAAACATCGTTTGCACAGGGACAGGGACACATGTTGGAAACTATCAAATTAACTTCCGGGTTTCAAATGATCAAGGACCTTCGCTGGAGCGATGTTTTGGCGGAACATAACAACCTCAAACCTGGCAACACCTTGGGTTGAGAAGCGAATTGCAGCTCTCACCTTGGGAGCTTTGGCAGGCAGGCAAAGGTCAGCGGTTGAGTTCAGGCCGGCCTATTGCGGGATCTGATTTCCGGAGCCATCTCCTTTTCGACAAGGGGTAGCACAAGCCGCATTCGCGAAGCTCAAGTTAAGTTCAGCTGACAGCCCCTTCGGCTTTTTCCAGGTCGGAGGCGGCAACACTCCAACGGCCGAACGGCTCCGCCTCCGGAACCGCCTCCGGCTTCGCACGCATGGGAGTGGCGGGCGGCCGTGCCTCCTGGCGTCTTTTGCAAATATGCCTACAATGCCTGAAGCACTTCCAATGGTACAGTAACCCGCAAAAAAAAAAAAAACATGCAAAAAGGCGTGCAGCTTGCAATCGGCTGCGCATAGATGTCCAAGAATTATGAATATAGATAAGTACATGCAACAAACCTGAAAGCCATAGCGTATGCATGCGTGTACAGTATATGGATAGTATGTATATACTGAATATGTGTATATATGGGTACCCATGTGTATCACTTGAGCCACAGTGTGAGAAAGCAGCGCCCTGGCTCTCAGCTGCATCTGGCCAAGCCACCCAGTCATACCAGTGAAGCGAGAACAAAAAACCGTTGCGTGTGTTTTGCGCAATGTCCTTTGCCAACATGTCCACTCCCGCTCCCCCCCCCCCAACCAGAAGCTCGATCACCTCATAGGACGGATTTTCCGGTGTGTCTACATAGAGTACCCAAAACCCGCTTGCTTTGGGTGTTCTCCGAAGCAGGTCAAAACCCCAATTGCACGGCTCCAATTGCACAAAGCCTGAGCCTTCACGTAACTGTGTCAACACTCGGATGTTTTGGCAGGTACAATTGCGCGCTTTAAACGCAAGCTCAGCAGCGGGGCACCTGGCCAACGGGTAGCTCATAATTCAGCCTACAGCGTATGTAGAATAATATTAAGAATAACAATAATAGTAAAAACAATTAGAGACATAGACAATAACAACCTGGTGAGGATAGTGAAATCACGATTTATATGAGTATACGTGTATGTATATGTATATATATATATATATATATATGTATATATATATATACATGTGAACGTATGACAGCCTGAAGGAGGCGGGGGACCTGCGCGGGTACATGAACAGTGCATTCTGTCAATGACATGTCAGTATATCCTGAAGGCGTTCAGCACTTTGACAAACAAGGCTTGACCCCACCCAGTGAAACAAACCCATAGCCAAGAAACAGCCCACCAAACAGAACACAACAAATATAGACACCAAACAAAACAATCCAAACTAAACCAAAAGCAATCCATTTGCCTGGGTCTTCGGTTCGCGCCTTGACCCGGCAAAGGCGGACCTCGAAGCTGGGGCCGTCGAGGGATGCCAAGGACACCACATCGCCGTGGCCTTTGGACCAAACCCGCGGTCGGTTCAGGGATGGATGAAAAAAGAGTCGACTGGTTGACAAGCACCTACTAAAAGCAGTCCGGTCCCACAGGGATCCTTACATTATACACCTGAACATTGCCTTATAAATGGCGGTTTCCCTTTATGTTGATGGAAAAAGCCATGTTTCAAATGGGCAAAATGTATCGTTTAAGGAGCCCTGTCCCAACAACTCCTTTTTCCCACTGTCCAAACGCCATGGTTGGGGGTGCAGGTGGTGCAGGAGTTCGTTGTCCACCGGTTGAGATCGGTTGAGACCGGCACCAAGGACCCGCGAAAAATGATCCGCCAGAAACGGCGACAAAAGGCAATGCCCGGTTGAACCACTGCTACATTTACCTATCGTCTGAACCGAAGAACCTGCCAACCAAAGGGACAATCCCAAGTAAGTCCTCTGCCCATATACGGGCAACTAGGATGTGTCAAAAAAGCCGCGACAACATCCCCTGTTCCAAGTTGTTACTTGGAAGTCTGTGGCTCCGATGTCATCCCAGGTTCTGAGTGGTGCTGCTGTTGTTTTTCCTTGTGTTCTTCTTCGGGTGTGTGCCTCTCGGGGCGGAACACGTCCTTGGAATGCGGCTTGAGCGGCCCAGACAAAGCTGGGACTTGTCCAGCCCATGTGGTTGGCCGAGCAGAACCAACGAAACATGTGTCCGTGTTGGCACTTTCATGAATAGGAAGAGCTTATAAATTGTCAGCCAACCACTGGTTGAAGCCACTATTAAAAAACCGATGTGATTCAAAGATTCAGACATGTGACATTACCTCATCTAGGCTTTCCTTTACAGAAGGGAAGATGTTGTGGTTTAGACCATGTCTTAGTTGCCCAGTGACTTTGCAGCCTAAATTCCACGAATACACCTGGCAGTGGAAAAGTGAAGGGCCCCCCTCTACACAGACGACCTTTTGGAAACATAGATGGCCCTGGTAGCTGGAATAAAACCCATCTAAACCAGTGGCACCTACTTCTAACCAAACCAACCTGAAAAGGACACCTCTAATCTGGGCCCTCGTCAAAGAAGGCTCTCTTGATCCTGGGTTCCCGGGCTTGCTCCATCTCTTTTTTCGGACCCAGGCGCCTGGTTTCCGCTTGGTTTCCCTTTGAAACCCTCCAAAAGACACATTTGTTGGAGGGTCTCAGTTTTTGGGGGTCTGATATCAACTTGGGCGCCGGCTGAGACCCAGTTCCTCACCACTCTTCACATGGATGCCATTGACGTAGGTGCCATTCACCGATAGATCCCGCAGCAGCAGCGAGTCCTTCCTTGGCGGTTTCATACGAGTAGGCGGCAACTGTCTTACACCAGGATGAAGCTAGATGGTGCAACTCTCTTGTGGCCGGTAGCAAAGGGGATGGAAGTGTGCCAGCTACTTGCACCCAACGGTATGTGAAAGAATCTAGGTATCGCTTTTGCCAGTGTGCACTATGTTTCCATGCAGTGAACCTGCGACCTCCGGGCGAAATGTGCTTTTGAACCAACAAATCAGGATTGCCTTGTCCCTGAGACATCGAGAAAACGCAGCTCACCTCACCAAGCAGTCATGCAGGGTTCAAAGAGAAATGCAGCAGCTCGGTGAAACAAAGCGGGCAGGCGACAAGGACATCTGATGGAGTGCTCAGCAGACTTCAGAAATCTTTAGCATGGTAAAATAAACAGGCTGCTTTCAGCTGAAACTGAACAGACAAAAGAATAAAACACCGACAGGAACGCCTTGCCGACGAACGGCAGAATCTAAGCTATCAGGTTGGAGCCCAAAGGTTAAGAAACATAAGGGCCATCACTCGTATGCCAGGTACCTCGAAAATTGGGCAACGAGGGTTTTAGACCAAGGATTCACTTTGACACCCTTGCGGCAAGAATGGAATCCCCAAAGCCCTTGCAGGACTCGGACCCTCGGCTCTAGACGACGACCCTGTTCCGGGAATTGACTAATACATGTGTGACCAACAAGAAACAACGATAACAAGCTACCAAGGACAGTGAGCTAGGTGAATTTAACTTGCACAAGCAGGCATGGAAATAAAACCGACGCCTCAACTTGGTCGGTTGCGCCTTTCAAAGCAAACTGCCAGTATGTCATCTTAAACTCCCACAAATACAGGGCTCCCTCAATTTCCCCTAAAAACATCACCCCCACCAAGGGACACTCACCTTTCATGGGCCAAAAAGGTGATGTTTAAAACCACGAAGAAGGGACATATAGGGACCCCTGAAATAAACGGACACCGGAAAGACACCAAAACTCCATCAAGATTTCGTGCAGCAACTGAATCCAAAATCCAACCCGCTAGTTGGAGCGAGCCCAGGGTTAAACATTGGACAACTGATCCAGCAGTTGGTGGTGCCGCCTCCAAAACTCCAAAGATATTTCAAGCTCTAACACTTGTTTGGTTGGTTGGTTGTAGTCTCCCAAGAAAAACACTTCGATTGAATTCCGGGGATGGCAAGGTATTCTTTTCAGAGATATGGGTATGGGTCAAAATTAAACCCCAGGGGACCGCAGGTTTTAGTCCATGTGTCCATTTGCCAGGGTTCCATTTTGGGTACCTCATTTTGACCCACTGCCATATAGGAGTCTCAGCTGATGGGCTGATGGATGAAACCGTTGGAGGCTGGGTGTCTGGAAAAACTGCCAGCAGGACTACTGTTGGCACACGTGCATGTCACCAATGGATGTCTGTGATTTGAACAGTGCATCGTGTTTGTTGCGAATTCTGCCAGACAAAATTGGATTATTGCTTGGAAGCAATCGAGAAAGCGAAGCCGAGGGGTGGACTGCGGTCTTTCTGTGCATGCCCAGTTGGCCCGTGGTATGTCCCGCCAAACTGCGGCAAAAGCAACCGATGCTGACGAATCAATCCAGCAGAATGTCCTCCAAAAAAAAACGCCCAAGCGAACATGCGGGATGTACAACGGTACATATAAGCGCTATAGCCACCGGAGGAAAGTTAGAAGGTTCCGTGGCTTTCTGGTTTGAGCACCTGCTGATACTCCCTGTCAGGCCGAGGCTCCCAGAACCAGCAAGGCAAGAAAGCACACAGTGGCGGCTGCTAACCGCTCTGGCTGCAATGCACACCTGGGCCACTTTCGCGGAAAAGCCTGACGGGAGCCCTGATCCAAATGGCTGACGAATCATTGCATTTCATTTAAACCATGTCCCATGGTCAAAAAACCTTCACGTGGTCTTGGTCATGGTTCCCTTAGACTCCCTGATAATGTTTACCTTTGTTCCATCCGAAGACCAAATTCCAGGTGTGCCCGTCGCACAACAGCACCATGTGAATTTCCCGGTTTATGGATCAATCGCATCGACATCGGTATCGAACAAACAGCTCTATTCAGAGGCGCCCCCTCCCAGAACAAACGCGAAGAATTCCCAAAATAGAATCTGTTGGGCATAGTACTATACCTGTATATATTCATATGTGTGATTCCAATTTGGTTAATAAAAGTCAGGAAGGATTACCTGACATCGCCCAAGAGGTCCCAGACGTCGCCGCGCCTCACAGCTCGCGTGCCGGCCCAGCGTGATGCCGCTACCCCGCGGCACCAAGCCGCGGCGAACGGATCCAGCGTCGAGGATCTCCCAACGCTCCACGGTGTCCTCTGTGGGGGTCGCTTGGACTTCCCTTTCTTTGGGGGGGATCGGTTCTGAAAGCATTCCCTTGGGTCAGTATGCCATTGAGGGGGAGCTTGGGTTGCCACGATACAGTGGGAATGGAGCCCAGCAAACCAGCGGAAGGAGTGTTCACCAGTTCAAACTCAGGGAAACACGCATGATTTGGCAAACTCTGAAATGACATGATGAATGCAGCAAAGACCAAGACGGAACCTTCATCATGGATGCCCTTTGAGGGAAACAGTGCTGAACAAGTTTGATGACCTCCTGAAAATTGGCTAGTCAAAACATGTGCACAGATGCCCAGTGGCCATGGGAAAAAAAGGGCATCCTTTTTTGGTTGCTTGATTTGAAAGGGGAACCCTTCCCCAAAAAAATGGGAAAAAGGGCGCCACTGGGCAACAGAGTGTGCTTCAATCACCAGGGCAGTCTCCTTGGAAACTCTTAGGTTTCGTGCTTCTCAGTCATCACCCAGTCCCCTGGAGTTGAACTAATCCCCTTGAAGTAGGGCACCGACGGCCACCGGTGGCTTCGCCCCAATGTGTGCACCCTGATTCTTTGGAACATCGGAGTGGTTCTTTGTTTAGTGCCCTCTTTGACTGTGGGTCTGTTGTGAAGGGACACCAAAGTAAGCAGACGGCCATTTTGCGAGAGTCTGTCAGTCTTTTGTGTGTTTGCCAGGTACCTTTTTAAGGCAGTTTTCAAGTTTCAACAACCAAAGGAACACCACCCTCCACTCCATTGCGCCCCCAACATCGAGTTGCTGGTTTTCAGTGAGGAATTGCAAGAATTTTGGGAACGAATTCATGAATCTAGGGATCCTCAAGAAAGCCAGGTAAGGACCCACAAGAACTGCCTGGGCAAATTCCCTCGTTCCCTGTCGCACGTCTCCTCCGCCTCCACCTCCGCATCCGGAGCCTCCGGAGCCTCCGGAGCCTCCGGGGCCTCCGGGGCCGGCGTCACGGCTGGCGTCCGGGCCGGCGTCAAAGCCGGCGTTGCGGGCGGCTGCCAGTAGCCGATCCTGGCGCAACGGTGCGGTGTGGCCATGGCCTTTGCTTCACCAAAATAAAGAGGTTGTAACCTGCATTCGGTGCATATGCAAAAATATAGATGTAAAAACAAAAAACAGTTGCAACCATGGGGGACCTTTTGGAAAGCCCTAATTCTGGAATTTAACCAAGTACCTTTAGGCGTGTACATTCTTGTTTCCCGTGCGTGAAAAACTGACAATTCAGCAGGCAGAATGACATAAGCGTCGGTTGCTCGAAGTTATCCATACGCAGCGACCCTCTTTGGGCAATGGAGCCACGTGCGGGGCTGGCGCACCCTGCTCGCAACCCCCAAACCTTAAGCGTGGTAAGCTGGATTCCTTGTATTTGGGATTGTCCGGGAGTTGGTGCTTTTGGTTTTGAACTGTTTCCAATTATGTAAGGCAGGTTGCCATGATGTGCACCTACGTGGGTGGTTTGGGCCACCTGAAGTGACGGCTAGGATCTCATATGAACTTATGTTGCAATTTGAGGGTTCCCTGAAGAATCTACCCTCTGGTCCTCCAAGATAGAAGCCAGGGCTTTCCTTTCAAAGGAACATAGGTTTCCAGGAGTGTCGCGTGTTGCTTAAGGCACTGAGGAGATTCTAGAAAGCATCCAGCGAGAAGGACGCGAGAAGTTGAATCTTCGGCCAATGGCCGTGGGACGCCAAGGCATCTTTGGTTTCAAAGGGCGCCACTGAAAGCTGCTAACCAAAGGTGCTGTTGGACGGCTCGAATTGTGAAGATCACTCCCAATCCTCCCCGCAAGTTGGCACTGACAATATCAGTTGGCATGAGAAAAGCTGGGGAAGCTATGGACCAAGGCCCGTGCTAGTGGGTAACTTTCCGCTTTTTGCCGAGATTCCAACTGTCGAAACCATGGATTACGTGGATTGCGAAAAGGTGGATTGTTGCACCCTTACTAGCTCAATATCTATGTTGACAAGCCGTTCTCCTTATAGTTCCGGAAATCAGGTTGCATCCTCCCCCTTCGTTTAAGACTGCCGAAACAACATCAAGGCGCAGCATTGGAGCTTCTATGGTGCATGAAACTCCCCCGCGAGTTGTCGCCAATGCTTGGTTGACGTTGGAAGGGGAGCAAACATTTAAATTTTAGCAGTTAAGTGGGGGGTTTCCCACTAAACTACTTAACGAGCAAAAATATAAAATGTTTCCGAACAACAACCATGAATGGGCAGCCGCAGTCCTTCGCTTCAGCACCGCGCCACGTGCTGAAGCGACCGCAATGCCTACATTCTGCGCGATACCCAGCACTGCAAGATCGTGCCGGAAATCCGAGGCGGCATCTAGCGCCTCCTGGCAGAACGAGAGCGGGCAACTCCATTCACACATCTGAAAGATAATCCCCAAAGAGAAGAACCTCCATCATGGGTGTCTATAAATATGATATACATATATATATACACAGTATATGTACATTGTACAGACAAGATGCCCATTACCGACAGCTTGGACTGCACTCGTGCATTCGATGAAGACAGCTCATCCCGTGTCGCACTTGTCTTGCTAGGTGGCTCGCTTGGTCTCACTGACCAAGCCTGGCAATGTCGGACTGGTGTGTCCAATACACAGCCGCAACAAAATGCAGACCTTTTCTTCCGCTGAGTCTTCGGTAGTGGCAATTGGGTGCACTGGGCAGGCTGCTCAACTCTAAAAGGTGACACACAGCTGACCGCTTGCAAAACAAGCAGACACGACAGGTCCATTAAAGGAGGATGCAACAAGTTGATGATCTGCCATATTCAAAGAGGCTCGCCTCGTCCCGCAACGAGTGCGGGCGGTCGCTCTTGGTTCGATCTGAAAGGATTTGAACATGTCCTCCTCTTTGGAACCTGACAGTTGGAGCATCCAAGCGAAATACCTTAATTGCAACTTGGACGTGATAAGGTTAACAACGGAAGCCCCAAGTAACATCATTGTGGATGAGCTCGTCTTAAGTAGCACGCAAAGCGCCTCTTGGACACCCCCCCCCTCTCCTGGGCGAAGCTGTGGCCGCATTCTGCTGACACGCGGCCCGGGCTATGGAGCTGATGCAGCAAGACCACAACAGACCTCAAGAGCCATGGGCCAATGGTCCATACCAAAATGTCGGAGCTGAGTCGAAATGGAATGCTGGGTGCTTTCTGATCTCCATTTGCCCAAAGGGGTTTGAAGCAAATATGGAATACCCTTCCAGTGAGTCAAGATTAAAAACCAGGTGTTAAAGGAGACCACCCAAACGCTGCCACGGGGATGGAGTCGCAAACTTCCTCAGGAACACCCAAGCGCACTTGGGGTTGGATGTAAAACCGTCAGCCATTTGGTTACGGCGTTTTAAGGCTTGATGGTGCAACATGGCCTCGAAGTGTGCACGCCAAGAAGCTCACCCCCCTTTCTTCGTTCGGCTCTCCGCTATATCGCCTGCTGAATTTCACGACATGTTGTGTCCAACCCCAGTGACGGCCAGTCTCAGTCCCATTGGAGGTCCCGCCTGGATTCGCAAACTGGAAGAACCGTCAGAAAGTGATTCTGACCATCCCAAGCGCTGAAAGCAAAGTAGTCAAGCCAGGACAAGCCTTGAAGGCTGTAGCACATAATCCCCGGCCCAAGGGCTCAAATCGCCAGGATTCCGCCCAAGTCTGAGCGCGAGGCTTCGCAGAGGTGTTGGGATTCCAGTCCCTTGCAGGGGCAACCCGGGGACAGCCAACCGCCGCATGTAGCGACTCGCAAGTTGAGCCACATCAGTGAATTCTCCGCCAGTTAGCAAGTCGCGGGCTCTTATCCTGTTATTAAAAGAGAGGGGTGCTGTCACACGAGGATGCCAATTAAGGAAGAAACTGACCACTATACAGTGTTGATTGACTGTTTATATGTTGGTTACAGAGGCCCGCACACACAAACAGCAAGCAAGGAAAGCTATGCTCCATAAAGCCCTGGCTTCCGCTTGCAAGATTCAGGGCTTTTAAGTTCGCCTAAGGACGCACCAAAAAGGTTGTCAAAAGGCAGAAGAAGATTGAACGTGAGATGGCATGGTTGCCTTAAGCTGGCCCCTGCAAAAAACATGAACACCCTACAAACCACCGGTTCCGAGCTTGTTGAGCCTTGTTGAGCAAACACAGCCAACATTAGGCCCGCGTGTCTTTGCCGGGGAGCGGTTCGTAGGGCCAGCCAAACCCCCAAACTCTGAAACCAAATTGCAACTCAGGACCAGAAATGAAGGCATGCAATGAATTCGAACAAACTCTGCTCGGACTGCGGGGCAGCCACTCAAAAAAGTGCTTTACCTTCCAACAACATAAATAAGGCTTTTCACCCGCTCACGGTGAGTACCTGACTGAGCCTGATCGAAGGCCCTTGACCGTTTCGCAGGCCTTTGTGGGTTGCCTTCTGTTGGTGTCTAGTGGTGGTAGATTGTTTATATCGTTTAAAATTCCTGGATACCAATCAACTGCAGCACAGTTTCTGTACCCAGTTTCGGCCGGAGGTATGAAACGGCTGAAAAAGGAAATGCCATGGTTGGGATTAGTTGGCCTGGAGAATCCACCCACCCAGGTGAAAGGGCTATTCTGAGATCACATCCAATCCACTTGGCAAGCGACCACCTATCAACTCACCCGCCGCCATCCCCGTTGAACGACCAACACGTTGACCGAACCGAACCCTCATGTCGCCTGAGAAGCGCACGCATGGCTTCTCGATGCGAGAAGTCCTCCAGGGACTTGCGAACGACATCCAGCAGTTGTCTAACGGGTCACCCGCAGCTTCAATCATCCGCGTCCAACACCAGCGACGAGTGAGCTTCCTTACTATTGCCAATGCCTTTGGCGAACAGGAATCCGAAACCCAGCAGCAGCCAAGCTTGCAGACTTACCCATCATGCCTGTGGCAAAAACAGATCGCCCCATAATTTCGGGAACCCAATATCCCTAAATCATGCTTAGGAGTCAAATGCAAAGGCCAAACATGGCTAAAGGCTAAACCCATGAGTTTGCACGGTGGCAGCTTGAGTTTGCTTCTGGCCCCACGTCCTCCCAGTCGAAAGCGCCGCATGCGATGAGCGCCGCGCCCAGGGCGTCCTTAGCCACTCGGACTCGGACCCGTTGGTGCCATCGGATCGCAGGGTCCCAAGAGAAATGAGACCGGGTCTTGGTGGGCATGTGACTTTTAACATGAAGAATGCTACGCCAAAAAACTGCATCCCAGGCAGCAGCCCTTCTGAAAAAAAAAATGCCTCCCCTGTTTGAAGAACGCTCAATGGCTAGGCGTCTTCATGAGTAGGCATCCAGAACAGCCAACCGAGTGTTTTTGTTCGGAAGCCCTCGAAGATGAAATTGGAGGGGGGGTCCGACAAACACCTCAAGTTACGAGTATGAGCTTGGTGTTCATGGCTGCCAAACATGAATGTCCGCGTCATACTTATATGCGTATATACCGTGTATAATATAATGGCGGAGATTGAATCGGCCACAGAGGCATGCTCGTCCTGCCTTGGCTATTAACCCATTAAACAAGATATGTTATGTTTCCAGATGACAGTTTGTTCTTAATAAATGAGCCTTAAACGTTGAAACATTGTGCTCACAAATCTAGGCTGTTTGTTGCGCAGGATACACGTCTGCAAGCGGTCCTGCAATGGCTTTGCGTCGGTGTAGGCAGCCGACAGCAAGGCGGCCGAAATGATCTGCAGAACCTCGCTGGCAAGGGAACATGGTTGCAAAACCTTGGGGGTTCGCTTCTCAGGCACTAATAATTGTCCATGCTCACGTCTCACTCAAATTGTGAGTGACAAACTACAGAACCTGAACAATGACATGTGCTGAGGGTCTTCAGCTTTTTTGCAACAAGAACAATCTCTGGAAACGATGGCCTCCCCCTTTTGAGCGCAGCAGGCTAGAGGCACTAGTCGAAAGCTCAGTGTGTCGAGTCTCTGGACCCAAAAGCTTCCGATGTCCTTCCACAAGCGAAGCAAGTCCACATCTCCGCGAAACATCCAACCGCTCCTAATGTCGCAGGCTTCGACCGACAAACAGCCCGTGAATGCTTCAAAGCCCGGCTGCTTGAGCCATCAACCCTGAACCCAGCTTGCCTGTCTGGCTCAAAGAGCTCTTGTCCTGAACACGGCATCCTCGCCAAGCTTGCGATCAACCGGAGCTTAATGCTATTGGTTTGAGGCCCTTGGAGTTCCTTATCAACAGCAGAACATGGTCCATCATGACACTTCCATCGTGACGTGTTTTTCTTAATCAAGCGCCGGTCATTGCTTTCCTGTGGAAGCAACACAGGACCCACCTTTTCATTGGAGAATTACACTGCCCCAAAGTTTAAAGAAACGACTCTGGGAGGCTACTGCACCCTCACATATAAAACCATTGGGATTGTGCAAGGCCAGTTTCCTCTTTTAAACTCCCAGTCAGGATCCATGTTATGTGTCATACATTACATCATTCCCAAGGCATAAGACTTCCTATTGCCTAAACTGGCTAAGGGATTCATGGCCATCCCTCCAGAGAGGGTGTTGTTTTCTCCGGCACAAGGCGGATAGTCCAAGGCGCGGCCTTTTCAAGGTGGCCCCGAGCCCTCCCAGAGCCACTTCTCTGCCTGCAGCTGCAGCTCGTTGACCTCACAGCCCTGGACTAAGAGCAGCTCCTGGAAAAGCAAAGAGGGCTGCTCCACAAACCCTGTCACCAGAGTGGAACATTGGCAAAGAGGGGATCTCCGAAACAGTGGATGCCTCATTAAACGAGGACATTTGTAGTGTCCGAGGTCAATGGAGCCCGTTTCTGCCCAGTGACATCCAGTGGCGGTTTCTCAAATTGGGGACCTCAGTCTCGATGGTTTTAAAGGGCAACCAAAAGGAACCACAAACCCGGAGAGAAACGCCCACATCAGTCTTGTCCTTTGCTCCAATAGCTACAGTACAGCAGGCGGGAATTCGCCTGGTTCTGGCAGGTTCGGGGATTCCTAGGTGGGCAATGTTGGGGATGCTCCTTGAAGTTTTGTATTGTCAGGGGTTCCCTTCGACCAAAATAAAAGGACATTGCATTTGTATTTTCCAGGGCTGGAAAGGGCCATGGAAATCGGAAAGGGTGTTGGAACAATTTGTATTGTAATGTGGCTGTTTCCGGCCGGGCTACTAGCCTTTTTATAGATTTCTGGAAGTGCGACCCTTGAGACTGCGAAAGGAGTTGCTATTCGTAAAAGCATCGAACAATTGGGAATCTGACAAAAAGATTGGAAAGAGGATCTGTTGGCCAAACCTTGTGCATGCCTTTAAAGTAACATTGTCTGACAATCGGCTGGAAGAATCGGGTGTCTGTAATCATAGGGGCTTTATTAATAAAGCGCCGACATGCAGAGGGCTCACATGGCGGTGATGGGGGTTGGTGGACCATCGACTCCATCCTCTGAGCGTCATGTATGGTCATTCGGGACTTTGAACTCTGGACTCCGTCGAAAATGACAATCCCGAGGAAGCTCTATGAGCAACGGACAATGGTACTGGGGTATGAGTTTTGGGTAGGCCCCTATATCGGCGTTTGATGACAATATTGGCGGGCATTTGTATGGAGACTAGGCTGCATCCTTCAGCCCCCTTTTCGTAAGTGGGAAACCCTGTGTGGAGTCTCTAAGATCCTTCAAACATATTATGGATATCTGGAAATCACCTGAGTGAGGGCCACCTAATGAGACTCCTGCCCGAACAGTTCTGTTGGGCATTAACCTGGCCTTGACATCGATTGGGCCAGTGGGAAAGCCAGCTCCCATGGCAGCTTTCCACAACCATTCGTCATTCGTGGTAACAACTAGCCTTGTCCCCAGGCATGGGGTGATTTTCCGGTAGTTTCCCTTCGCCTTGACCCGAAAGAGGGTAGGCTCAGAAAGAAACTAAAAACAAACACCCTGAAATTCTGGGTGCTCCATCGGTCACCGGTCTACTGATCCTTCCCCTATCCCCTGCTTGCCCAGTGGATCCCAGTCACCCTAGGAGCTGCTATTCTCCCTTTGGTTTTTAAAGCGTGATTCCCCTGGTTTCGGGAAGCCTGGACAAAAACAAAAAAACAACGACTGATCTTTTATCCTATGCCCCGTTGGCCTGGGGAAACAAAAACACCATAAAACACCCCCTGGCCGTCGACTCGATTTTTCGCTCCATTTGGACATGGGTCAAAATCCAAATGGTACCCCCAGTGAACATCCCAATCCAACCACTAAAATCGGTTCTAAAATGGGTGGTGAATTCACCTACCCCAAAATGTGGTGCACCTGCCAAAATAGCTAAATGGGTGGTGAATTCACCTACAGGTGGTGCACCGAAAATGGGATACCAAAACAGTTTTGACCACCACAGCCCTTCTCCTTGGCGCCCTGCAGCCGCCTCGCCGCCAGCTTGGCCGCCAGCACCGCGCTCTTCGAATCGTAGAGCCGAGCGCCGAAGAAGGCGCCCAGCGCCTGCAGCAGCCTGGGGAGCTCTGGCCGAACCAGGTGAACTGTTCAGAATGGCCTCAAAATGGGTGAAACCTCCACTTGACCCAAAAAAGGCTCCGATTTTTGCGAACAAAAAAAAAGAAGGAGAATAGCCCCAAAATTGGTGAATGAAACCCTGGTCACCTGAGCCGTCGCAAAACCTCCAGGACTGGAGAAAGGCCCGTGTCCGACGAGTTGGCCTCACAGGGGCCTTTCAAGCGGGAAGAAGCATAGCCTGCATGGGCCTTGTGCGCAATTCCGTCTTTAGGCTTTGGAGGAAATTTCAGGGGTTCGCTTTTGTCGCCGGCCGAACTGCTTGGGTCGGCGCATGGAAGCTGGCAGTCCTTGCAATGCTCACAGCGTGCTACCCCGCATGCATATGTTGTGTTGTTTTCTTTATGCAAGCATTTCGTGGAAAAGCGAGGTGCTGTCTATTCTCATGAACACTTAGTAAGCAAAGCGTCAGCTGATTCAAAGTGTCAGCCCGTTTGCCTTCATTCATTGTAGTTCAACTGCGCTGCTTACAGTATCTGGAGAAGGATGTGCAATGGAGAGCGAATGACAAAGGAGTGCCATCTGTGTTCAGCCAAGAGATTATCAGTGTCTTTCCGAAGAAACACGATAACGACCTTGTAATTTGCGGCTGATCGAATTCGTTTGCTCTCTTTTAAAGAAGCAGCTGAGACTGGCGAGTGGTGAGTGCCCTCATGCACGCGGACTACTTGTTGGCTGCCATGACCCATGAGAAGTTAGACACCGTCTTTGGGTTGGAACAAAAGGCTGAATTCAATTTTGTGCAAGTGCATGGATGGCAAGCTTCTAAACGTCCCGCCCATGTGGCCCAGCTGCATGGCGGCATGGGCTCCTTACTGCCCAGTGGAGTCTAAAGGGAGCCTGTCTATCAAGACACGCAAAAAGTGGACTCCCGAAAGGTTCGAACGACAACACTTTGTTGTTGTTGGTTGCCTGGTAAGGGAAACGCATCAAACACACAAAAAAAAAAAAAAAACGACAAAAAGGGCTACGGCCCCTGGGCAAAGGCTCGAGACATGAGCGGCAGCGTGGCAAAGAATCGCAGCAGCCGCGTTCGGAGCACTGCCTCCAACGAATCGGATCCATCATAGTCGCCATCCTCCGGGTCCGAGTCATCAGTGTGTGCCGCAGGAATCCTGAGATGTATTTCCTGTGGTTGGAAAGCACATCTTATGGGTCTAGACGATCCTGTGCCCTCAAAGCTGTTTATCTGACCATTCCGCAAACCTGCTGTTCAGGAGAAAGCAGCAAGGACTCTGAAAATACCAAAAAAAAAAACAGGGGCTCATCACCACCGGACCTCTGCGCAAGTGAGCCGCGGTTGGACATGGGAAACAAGTGTCCCCTTGTGTTTGTTGGAAATGAAGGACCATAGACTACCGAAGAGTTCAAGCGAACCTTGAATGGAACCAAGCGGCTGCCCGAGCGAGGTGTAAGCATCGCTGACGTCTTTTTGCTTCCGCTTCTTCTTCGGCGGCTCGTTGGATTCGTTCCCGGGCTGGCGACAGCAAACCTGGCAATCGAGAGGATTGTTCAAATGCTTCGTGCAGGGCTCAACGCCCCAGTAGTTTCTTAAAGGCACCGTAAACGGCAAGTCCTCTCTCCCCGTGGAACAGGTGGGTTCTTACATTTTCCGCTCAAACAGTGCCCAAATAAAAATGAGTGGATCCTAAAAGACACGGAGCGCCAAGTTGCTCAGCGACTCTGGTCGTTGGATTTCCTTGATGTTGCAAACTTGTTTCTGTTTTCCTTGTTTTCTGGTTTTCGCGAAACAATTCAAGGAAGTGAGAGATTGAGCATGGCCCACAGGGTGCCATTGAACTGGAGCTTCTGATCCCGTTCGCCTCCAAGGCTTTGCCCAAAAGCCAGGCGCCAGCAGGGCCCTCCAGGGCCCCATACACCGCCAGGCAGCAGAGCCGATCCTCAGGACTCCGAGGCTGAAATCGCTGGCCTTTTTGGCCTTTCCAATGGGAAGCACCCGGTTGGGCGAATTCAATGGCTATAAATTGAAAATAGAGAACGAGCTAGCCCCAGTCACAAAAGGAAATTCAACTTTCCACGGTTCACGGGTCGTTTGCTTCTTGAAGGTTGGATAAGTCGAAGGGCCCGCAATGAAACCATGTGTTTGCTGAAGATGAAGAGTGAGCCCCTTTATGCGCGTAGAATTTCCAGTTGAGGTGATGCAAGTTGTCTTTTCAAACAAATTGAAATACAAGCATGTTCAGCACCTGTTTAATGTTCTCAACGTGCTGCACTTGATTTAGGGTCAAGCATACTCTCGAATCTGCAATCCGCATTGCTTGGACATCTGTTAAACAAGCTAGAACTGGCAAAACACAAATCACGCCTGATCTACTCAAAACGAGGTCTACTCAAAACCGTGCAACGAATCAGACGGACTGCCGCACTTATTCATACATTCGCACTGGTCCATACCAAACTGCACTTGCACTTGCCCGGGCTTGAGTGTTAGCTCAGCTCTTCATGACTCGAGGGCCTAAGGGCCCGTACCCTTTGCTAGGTACCCGCTACTATCACCATAACAAATTGGACACACACACCACACACACTTATACATGGTATATATGTACATATATCCATGTACATATATCCATGTACATACAAATGCTATGTCTGCATGTGTATGTATATATATATATGTATTATATTCTACAAACACACACACACACACACACACTCACACAGACACGCACACTGACTTCCTTTGCGAACCCCTCGATATTGCTGCCCATGTTGGTCCCGTGCTAGGCCTCGCGCCCACAGCACTGCCCGCAGCGAGGCACGGCCTCGCCCCTCCAAGGCTGTGGCAGCCCTGACGGCTTGCCACGTCGACCAGGGGAAGCCATAGGGAACGGGAGGAAATTCGGACACCATTCTAAGGGTAGCTTCCCCATTCTTTCCCGGAATCCTTCTTTCTAGGCACCCACCAAAACCCTGGTTTTCGAAAAGAACGATGGTTGGAAAGAATGGGGAATCAACCCCTAGAACCATGACGGCAAAAACGTTTGCAGCCCAAAGACGCAGATGGAACCCTGAAAACCCATGTTTAGGCATTTGAATATCCTTCGCGGGAGGAAACAAACCTCTTGCTTTCTGGCTCCGTGTTGATTTGCAGGGGGCCACTGTAAGCGGTGCTGCGTAAAATTATTAGCTTCCTAAAATCTGGGCTGAGAACCCCTTCTGTTTGGTTTCCGTTAAACATGAGCCTTGTGACACATAAAGCTACATACCTACCGAGCAAATCAAATCGGTGAATGCTGGAAGAAGGATTGGACCTCTACCGCGGCGATTTTCTTGGCTTCGCCTTCAACAGCGGGCCCTCATCTCTGAGACCCATCACAAACCCCATGTTTTCTGGACATCTCCCTCCTCAAAAGCATCGATGCCTCTGCTCAGAGAGTTCGCGGCTGATCAACGTCGGGTGCACGTAACATGCCTTACATTTAATGTGCAAACTCGCCGTACATTTAATGTGCAAACTCGCCGCTAAATACAACAAAATCAAACATGTTCCGGTCAAAATGTCCTTCTAAAATCAGCTATGCAGAATATGGAAGCAGAAATGGCAGCAGCAAATGGAAGCTGAGCGAGCGATCCTTTCATTGCGAAGCCGTGGACCCAACGACTCCATGTCAAACCGGGTCCAAAATGTTGCACTAGTTTAACGCAAAGACTCGGTGTGAACACAGCCACCCACCACCACGTAGCTCTCCCGTGCTTCTCAACCGCTTGGACCCGGCGGACGCCGCGCCTCGCCAGCGCAAGGGTGGCCTTCTCTTTGGGCGCCCCGTGCAGCAGCATGGCATCGGAGATGAAGAGCACGGAGAGCTCCTGACAAACTCACCGACTGCTTCGTATCTCAGGGGCCCGCAAAGTTCCAGAGCGACAAATACGTAGAATTGGAGTTGTGAGTGGTCCCTTGCAAAGCGCCTGGAATTCAAAAATGATCACTGGACAGGGCCGTAGCCAGCACCAAGACGGTGCATGTCAAAAGGTCGGCGTTGGACAAGCACGATAGGGACCAATCATGAAAAACGGAAACCTGATGACGCCACGGGTCCAAACAGTTCTGTCTTTAATTAAAAGTCGGCCGATACTAAACTCCCCGTCCCGCAGCAAACAATGAATCATCTTCCCCTCAAGTTGAATAATTAGCTTCGATTTGGTCCGAGGTTTTCTGGGAAACCTAATTTACTCCAAAACCCAGGGAATTGACCTTCAATTTCCAAACTCAATTCCAATCGAGCGGATTGGCCCAAACAAGTCGCCAAACTTTTTGTGTACCAAAACAATGGTCTTCTTACCAAACAGTCAGGCTCCGAACCACCCAAAGGTGTGGACAAAGCATCGGAAAACAAAGCTTGTTGTGAGCAACATTCTGTGCACTACAAAAAAACACAAACAGCTATCAGACATGGCCAGGCATGTCCCTTCAAAACCGCTATACCTGTGTATACATGTATATATATATTAATATAAAACATGCAAACAGCTTAAACAGCTAAACATTTGAAGGCCTATCTTTGTTGGCTGTTGGACGAAGAGTAGATCTATGGCATGACCCATGTCCTAGTCATTGTCCAACCGTCCCAAGCTTCGCGCCGCGCAAGTGCAATCAAAAACCTCATAGCTGTTTTGTTTCAATTTCATGACCTGTTTCGGTATCAAACTTCTGATGCTTCAACACACGACCAGGAACATGGTATGGAAAGTGTTGAAGGCAGATTCAACCTGGCAGATTCATGGTAGAGCATAGCAGCATATCCCAAGGTGCAGGAGCGGCAACCATATCCCTGCGCGTCCCTTGATCCAACCAGCTGAAGGTGGCCTCAATCTGAGCAAAATATGCGCTTCATGGCGCGAACTTGTTTCTACATGAAACATGCGCTCTCTGTGCGCGATGTCTCAAAATGGCGGATCCACCAAAACAGCATCTTCCTTGTAAGAAGAATCCGAAAAAGGTTACCCTAAAAACGATACACTTGCTTGTTGTTGCCAGGAATCAAGGGATGTTTGGATGTCCTAACCGACTGAGCGCTGTTTCGCAACAACATGCTTATGGTTTACGCTGTCAAAAGGGGCGCAACACATAGCTCACACAAACATGCCACTCTGATACTGAGAAGGCAGAGTCCGACAAAGTAAAACAACGGTTCCGCCCGAACACACAGTTCCACCAAGTGGTGCAGCGAAGAGCTGGTCCAACATCCAAATGACCATCATGACATGCCCAGCCAAAACTCCAATACCACTATGGTTTTTGAACAAGCTTCATGCAGGATCAATTTGACCAAGGAAGAAATCGCAGGACTGTGTGTCTTTCTCAACCATCCAGCTGTTTCCTTTTGAGGCCTTCAATCTCGGCTGACTCCAAAATCAGGTGTGCATCAAACCGTGTTTCAGCGAAGGAGATGCGACATCTTCGACCGACCAGGAAGTGGCTCCACGAGGCGCATGGAGGTAGCTTGCTGCAAAGGCAGCTGCACCTACGCGGCAAGGAGCTTTGGATGCGGTGGTTGACTTACCGGTTATAGTCTATGGGGAAACAGCAAAGCGGAAAACCCGTCTTGGACAAAACGTGCAAATCGAGATTTGGGGAACCCCACCAAAAAGGGTCAGTGGTCTCTGGCTGAATCAGAAGTGGACATCTAAAGACATATCCAAATGTGCAGTAGCCTCCGGAGAGCGAGAAGAATGCTGGCTTACTCTGAGGGCCGCAGCGTCTGGTTTCTGCTTGGCACCAGAACTTCACATATGTGTTCCTGTTCAAGCATACCCAAATGGCGCTGGTTAAAGAAGGGTGGCAAATTGCAGCAGCGTTTCACTCAAGTAGTATGAGTCACAACTCCAATTGCTTGCTTGCTCGTGTGAGTGTCATTGAGAAGACTCCCTCAGTTATCAAGAAAGCGCCAACTATGAGCGGTGCTGACCATCGGTCCGGTATTGTCTGCACCCGTCGCTATTTGCAAATACTTTTCTGATTAATGCCAACCCCACCATGTTGACACAGGCTCCACCAGCAACAGTAATTTGTTGGACCATTCGCTTAGCTTGGCACGCGAAACGATTGCTTTTCCGACATGACTCCGAATTAGGTGGACAACCTGAAGCCGTGGAGGTGAAAGTAGGTTCCCTGATCCAGCATTCATGTCAACTCCCAGCCGGCTTTAGCTGCAACATGGTCATCCAGTACTGGTTCAGGTCTACAAAGGCTCGCAAACCTAGAGACTTACGAAGCAAGGCTCCTCCATTAAGCCTGAAAACTCAAAGAATGAACCCGCTGGTTTTCTGGGAAGACTCACGTACCATCCTTTTCTCAAGTGCCTTCTCACTTTTGAGCCGGCGAGCGCATCAGTTTCAGTGTTGCAGACAAGTCCATACAAATGGTGTTCCTTGAGGTTTCCTTTGAACGAACCTCAAACAAGTTACCTTCAAACACACACACACACACACCAGTATGTTCGATTTCACGTTTATCAGGAACCTGACCTGTAATGACTGCTCAAAACAAAGCACGCTGTACCCCCCCCCCCAAGAAACATGTTTAGGTCGCATATGCCAACGCCAGCGCCGCATCTGTTGAAGATTCTGGTGGTTTGCTTTCGAGGGATTGTTGTGTTGCCTACGTCCCGAGTGGCAAAAAACATATTTTGGACTCTGAAGGAGCTAAAGACCAAATGTCACATGGTTGTCAGACTTGGCACTGCCATAAGGATCGGAAGTATCGGAAGGTGCAGATCTGACAGCTGTGCTGTTGCCGGCCAATGCTGAATGACGCTGAAGCGCCTCCGTGGGAAAATCAGAATGCTCCTTCGCCTGAAGCTTGGCCAAACGCCAATCACAACCGCCATCGCCAAATTCGACGAGCGGTGGGCGCTTCAACCGGCCCAAACGGCTCCTCATACAGGTGGTCGTTTGCGGGCAACTTTGTTTACCCGTCAAATGATGATGAACATGCTCCTCGCCCATGACGTAACAGAAATCCCACATGAACAAGCCTAAATCCTGGTTCCAGGCCATGTAAAACCAGCCCGACCCAAAAGGAGCCTACCCATTCGTAGAAACGCTCACCAGACAGCTAAAAAAGGCCAAGTCCCTTTCAGGTTACGTGTGCAAAGCTCACCGGAGTCGATGCGCCTCGAGAAGCCCCAGGAAGAAGTCCCAATGCGCCAAGGCTTGCTCCTTTCGACGTTGATTGGATCTCAGATCTTGAAAACGGCACGGGAGGTGTTTTGGCTGCGGCGAATTCAAAAAGCCGGAATTCCAAAATGGGTTGCCCTGGTAAGTGGAAACATGGGTACCAAAACCTGCGGTTTGCCCCTTGTTTAATTTTGAGCCACACCCATATGCTTCTGTGCGGGTTCTGTGGGTTGCTTGATGCGTGGCGTTGATTTGTGCTATGAAGCGTGTGCGGATGCTGGCAAAGATGTCACGCACGCAGCAAATATTGACCACTCTGGCTGTGATTCAAGCGTGATATCTCCGGAAGGTGGAAGTGAGTCCAACGTTCAAAACAGGATTTGTTAAGATGGACCCCCTGCTCCCTGTGAGCAGTTCCAAGTCGAAATCATTTTGACGCAATGAACAGTTTATTGTGCTTTGTTTGAACGGGCATCCATCCGCCATGATTGCCAAGGCCGCCAGCAGTCATCATGCGATGTTCATACACTCCGACGTCAAACATCATGGCGACCAATCAAGGCGCAACTGTCCAAGTAGGAAGCGAAACAAACATGGGCCAACGTATATGACAACATCTCATAGATGTTAACCATACAAATGGTTTGCTCATTGATCCCTGCACAAAGTGCTCTCTGTCTCCCACTTAGACTGATTATTTTTCCGTTTTTGTTCTTCTCAAGATGGTGCAATGGGTTGTTTCAGTCACATATTTAATTTAATAAGAAACATCTCAACAATCGTGAGTATGTTCAGTTGGAACGCTATGCACAGCTGGGTGAAAAGTGGCCCAATGCAAATTATGTTGGGCAGCTCCTCATAAAGCAAATCACGCCAACTTTCATTCACCATCCTGACTCTGGGAGGCATAGAGCGCAATGGCATGGATGGCGCCCACCTGCATCGATTGCTCGATAATATCGGCTTTTGCCCTCGGCCAACCATACTCTGTTGGACTATGGCTCATGTTTCAGCTTCCCAGGAGACTTAAATTGATGGTTTAGAGCTTGAGTGGTGCCCATTTTCGCTCTATAAGAACCAGGAGGTTCAAATCTCCTAACGACCAATCCAAACAAGCAATTGGGGGTTAACTTAAATGTTCAGTGAGTCTTGACTCTTAGAAAAAGAAAGAAAATAAAACTAGTTTCTAGGAACCCTACTGCTTGCTGTCTAGAATTCTCTATCGGAGGATTCGGAGGGTCTATGACCATCTCTGTTGATGGCAAACAACCACGGTTTGGACATTGGCACATATTGCAGTGAACTAAGCACAAACCACAGGCAATTGTCCTACTATAATGTCAGGGCCAGACTTCAAGCAATGGCTCCACGTTGTTCATGGAAATGGAAACGGGCACAAGTACATGTTCGCAACGTAATGATGATTGCCGAGGATTCCAATTAATTGGGAAGTACCGGCATGTTCATAGGTGTCCTTTTAGGCTCTGGCAGATGATTAAACCACCAGGGAAACCACTGCCACCTATTTTTCCACCAAAACAACCAAAAAGAGGACACCTATGGCCTATGGGCATGTTGTATTTTCCCTATGTCTTTGATGGACTCAATAGGCACACTGCTCGTGCGTGACTCAAGGTGCGGGTCACCGCCAGCGAGCTTGCGAGTTTTTCCGGGACCCGCGAGGGTGCCGGGTGTGTCCGCGGTGTTGGGCATGCCGAACGAGCAGACCAGTTGCCGAATGATCAAACAACGAGCGTCATGGTGCTTCCCACTCAAGCATCGCACCATTTAAGCTGGACAAGCCAGCTGCAATTGGAAATATGAACGTATGTAAGACCCCTCGAAGGGATACAGTCATCTGAGATTCGCGGAGAGCCCAAAACCTTGAAACACACAATATGATATTTAGTGGGGCCTCTGATCAAATGCGCGAATCTGAGTTTGGCAGTCACCTTTCATCCCCAGTCAAATGTCGAATGTTTTCTTGCAGCATATGTCCTGTTTTGCAGCTTAGTGGCCATGGAGAAGACACACATGCATTGTCAGAATTGAGGGAAAAATCAGCTGCACAGAAAGCACGGGCTCTGCCAAAATGGTCTCAGCCGGATAATATGGGCCCTACTATTTAAGCAGGTAGTAGAACCACACATTACGGACCCGCTGATTTTGCTTGGCGCTGCTCAACTGAGGTTTGCATATCCCGTGCAAACTCATAACACCGCCAATCCCGCTGAATTTGACACTAGCTCCTATATTCCTTTCCCTGAAAGCAACAAAGTGTCCGTCCTGCCTGTGCAGCTGCAGACTGCTCCTCTTGCAGCACTGACTGCAGCACCTTGCCGTTGTTCGCACATGATCAATGCATAGCGCGTCCAGGTGAAGGAGTTGTTGTGTTTTATTGGGGCCCTCATGAAAGATCATGTCCACCAAACCACTTATGTTGAAAAGTGCGGATGTTCCAAGCGGATCACACCAGACATGACCAAAACTCAAGTGATGGCCGCTGCTCCTCTAACTAGAAAGAGGCTGGATATGAGCTTTAGCAACAACACTGATCAGGCGAAACTTCCAACATAGAAACTTCACACACACACACACACATCCAGCAAAGGGTCAAAAGGGTGCCTGTACATTGTGTAGTTGTTAGCCGTTGGACATCTGGAAGAGGGTGCCAAACGATATGCCCTTCGTTGGCCGTTTCACAGGGGAATGGGGCAAGGTAGGAGCTCAAGGAATAGACAAGCTCGTGTGACTGCAGACAGTGAGGGGCCAATGACCACTAGCTGAAAGTTGGTGCAAAGATAGTCTTCCAAATACACTTGCATATCGAAGGACACATATGTTTGGCACCTTCACGGCTAAAAAGTTTGTGTAAGGCGGTTTACCCCCTGAATTAATAACTGGACACCCTTTAAGACTCACGTCACTGGTGCAAGCTATACTAGGTTTATGCCTGAATTAGCCTGATTCCCACCGAAGAGAGACTGGATATGATACATCATACAGCAGATCGCGTGCAACCATAAGCGAGGTGACCTTGGGTGTTTGATGGTTCGACCAACTTGAGGCCACAACCACGTGCATGAATCAAGGAGCATTTTCGCTACCGCCAAGTACGTATCCCTTCTTGCTCGCCCTGACACGGGATTCACCAGCATGCCTATGACGGGCCTATGAGACTGGTTGAAAAGGCATCTAAGAGGTTGGCGAATCGGGGAAGGACCTCCCTGCTTTGCGCGACGTAAACTGCCACTCATCATCACTCATCCTCATGTCTTGGAATATGAATATGAGCTTGGTATCACAGAAGCCCTGCTCTTTCCACACTGCCAAATGGAATGGACAGCTCGGATTGACCATGGACACTGGCTGGATCATTGATACTACGGACCCTTTGGGAATGATACCGTTTTATTTAAGGCAATGCAACGAGAACAATAAGAGGTCACAAACAGTTACTCGAATGGAAACAAGGAACCGCGGACAAACTCCAGGCCGTTGACACGTGTGCCACAAGGTGATTTGGAAGAGCAGTATCGAACCGCCAGGTTTCATACTGCTTCACGTGGATCAAAACTAGTTCGACTCTATGTTGGTCTATTTTAAATATGGAGTCACAGGAATCACTGTAAGGAATCAACATGAAAGTCATCAAGTTCATGAAGTACATGACGTTTCAGTACATTGCATCAATTTGAGTACATTAAATTTCTGCAGTTACCAGTTTCAGCAAAGCGCGCCGGCCCCGACACGTCGGGATGCAACCCGCGGCACCGGAAGTAGCTCGCGCTGCTTCTTGCCCCGGCCTGTGCGATTCGAAGGCATTCGAGCGCGAGCTAAGAACCAATGGGTGTGACTCAAAACAGGTGCCCTTTGAAACCACTCCACCAGGGGTTCCTTTAAGAAAATACGCACCCCAATGAGTGTCGAAGTCTCCAGGTGAAGAACAAAGGAAACAACATTGATTCCATGGAGGTTGGTTCTGCGAGTGCTTCACTCAGAGCAAGCCGGTAGGGTGTCCCGAAAGCGGATTCATTCACGTGGCCCATCTGAATGGTGTTTCTTTCCGTCCTTCACATAGGGCGGTCACCAAAGCTCTTTGGCGTCGCGCCACCCGGCCCAGGAACTCCACGTCCGCACCCCACGCGCGAAAGCGCTTCCGGGTCGCCCTAGCGATGCAGACCCCTTGTTCCCCAGCTTGTTCTGCACAACCTTCGCCTTCTGGCACCCGCCCGAAGCCAGGCGCCCGTCATCCGCAACTTGCCGCACGAACGGCAGAAACCCGGTTTTCGGAGCATTGGGAACTGGGGAGACTCACTCCAGATTTGTGTCCGTCTCATGTTGAGGGGTGTTTTTGGGGTTGTTTAAACGGACCAAACTGAACCAACTCATGTTGCTGTTCCCATTTGCAACCCATGGCACATTTAATCGTTCAAGCGCAGTGCTTCTGCAAGGCGGTGATGTATCAACTGCAACTTGAGGCATTTGCACACTTGAACCACAAACAGAATTCCTTGGCTTGCCCACAGTGTGGGTGTCCAAAGAGGAACCAATTGGACAACCCGCCATCCTTTCGGTCCCCGTTGTGAGAATCAGCGGGATTCGGATAGTATGCTCGGACTAGGAGAAATCAAACAGGTGTGTCTGTGGACCACCGAAATAGTGTTTGTCGTTTTTGGCTTCCTTTTCTCCCACAAACGAGCGGGTACCCTCGACAAAATACACACACACGCACCCAAATCACCTTTTGATCCCAAAACAAAGGAGTCCTCATCGCGCATGCAAAGAAGCCTTGGGCTTGCTGTTCTCAGCTGCAGCATTTCATCAATACATATTGTTTGTTTTCCTTGAGAAAACATCAAAATAGGGTGCCCTCAAAAAGAAACATCCAACTCGTCCTTTTCGGACGGAAAAGGGTATTTCTCTGTTGGGTTGCTAGTTTAGCAATACCCTTGGAGCCCTGTCATCCATGGCGAAACAGCGCCTTTTTCGGGTTCGTGGAAAGTCCTTCTAGGTGGTCCAACATATCTCATGCGTGGGTTGATGAACCAAAGGTAAACGGGGTTGTTTTGCCTACTAGGTGGCAAACAGAGGGTCTGCGTTTTCTCGTCTCTGCTCATTCTGTGTTTGACAACAACACCATCCCTTTTTGCGGCCTTTACGAAAAGGACGAAGCAATATATGGATGGGCCAGTTGGCACCCAGACTACGCCGCGAGTGAGCCCTGGTGAACAAAATACTTGTTCCCCCAACAGGACACCGAAGATTATGGACCGTTTCACCGAGTTCCCTGCTTTGTGGGAGTTCCCCCATGTCTCTGCCAAATGAACAGAACTGAATCTTTTTTGGTTTCCCCTTGCATCTCCGTGCTGCGCAGTGCCCGGCAGTGCCCGGCATAAATGCGTGACACTGGCAGATAACATAATCGAACCAGAGTTCCCGGTCGCTTCGAAGGAAACGATGGGAATAATTCCCCCTGAGCCCGGGCCCCGGCCGTAGCACAGCCAGGCGTCACAAAGCAGCACCATGCGCAGGCACTTGGACTGCCGAAGCAAACGCAACTCCTGGGGCAAGACCAAGACAAAGACCAGCAACTGGGACAGAACTGGGACAGGACTGGGACCTGGGACAGAACAGGGCAGGACTGGGATAGTGCAAAACAAACACCAGCACAAACCCAACATCCCGATGATTGTATTTGAGTGTCAAAACAGCAGGTGCTTGCCGAGCACGAATGCTATTGCACACTACAACGTGGGCAGAGCAAGCTTCAGTGCTCATCTTTGCCGCTGAAACAACAGAACAACACCCCACGCAGCAGCACTCCCTACAGCAGCAGAACCCTTCTCCCCTGCAACAGCAACCAGACAAATCTGTTGGTCTTACCCTCCACTAGCATCCACTAGCCCACACCTCCCGGACAGAAACCCGCAACAGCACCGTGCAAGAGAAACCCTGCTAAGTACATCCAAGCAGCTCACAACGGCACCCTGCAACAGCATCCTTCAGGAGACTGACAGCACGCTGCCCAAATACTTGCTTACACCATACCCAACGCTCCGACAGCGCTCGCAACAACGCCCTGGCGGCTTGAATAATTGGCATGCCCGATATGATTATCACTCTTCTTTGGGGGAAAAAAAAACAGGTTGAAACACACAGCGTTTAGAATGGTTCGAGAAACCGCACATTCCCGTGCGCGCGCGCGCCCAATGTCAGCCCGAAATGATCCGGCCGAAGGATATGCAATCCATGCTCCCAACATCCACGTCAGTGCAATGGTCTACTCCGTTCCAGAAAGTACAAGACCCTGTTTGTTTGGTCCATTCTGTTCAAAAAGGATGTAAAAAGACCTGACCTTTTTCGGGACCCAAAAGGAAGGTACCTTGGGCCATCCCCACCTCGACCTCTCCGGACGGTGAGAAACCTCCCCGGCTCTTCCCGAGTCCTCCACCTCCTTGGAGGCTTCCTGCAGGGCCTGCGAAGGGACGGCTGGAAAATGTTCCATGGGTTTTCAGACACCACGCCCACATAGAGAAGTGAACAGAAAAAGAAAAAAACAGGCAGGTGTCCAGAAGTTACTTTCTCCAGACATCTCCGCGCAGAATGATAAGATTTTGGATTTGGAGCATAGCGCCCTCGGGTCCAAGCAGTGGATTCCTTTACTTGACCCACAGAATCGGCTGAAGCACAAAGCCGAGGACAAGCACCTGTGTACACAATGACTAGCCTGGCAAAAGAGTCATGAGCAAAGTCTATATCCTGCAAATTCGGCCAGGGCCCGCTAAAGCTCTCACCAAAACAGCACGCAACATTCGACTCAGGAACCCCTGTGAATTACAACATGAGACTGCAATGCTTGCAGAACGAATCAGGACCGACTGGTCCGACAGGAACACCCGTGGGTGCAAAAGCTTTGGGAAGCCCCTAAGGCATTGATCTTCTCTACAAGGGCGACCAATCCTGAGACCGTACGGCACGGTCAAACGTTGGCTGTTTTGCATCGGAGGTGCCCCTTGAGGTTGCTTGGCGGGTGAAAACAATCTGGCCCCTTTTGGGGGATGTATTGAGAGAACTGCGACATGAAAACATGAAAACTGCATATTGGGGAGCGCTTACTTGACTTTGACACATAGCTATGCCAAACAACGCTCTGCAGCTCGCCTTCTCCATTGCGTCGGGTCTTGCAGCTTTCATCAGCTTCAGACGGTTCGCCTGCTCGAACAGACCACATTGGATTTTTATGTCCATAACATGCCGGCCCGGCTAAATCACCCAGTTCTCTTGAAATTCAGCAGGCAGGGAATTCCCAAGAACGGATCCCGCGCTCCGAAGAAGATTCCTATATGGTGCTTGCGCTTTGTACTTGAGCAAAGTTCTCTTTCGCATCTCATATCAGCAAACAGGGGCACTCTCAAGCTTGCCGAGCCTGGCCAAAAAACATGAACCGCGACATTCAACAAGGCAAAATCCGGTGCTAACGTGACCCGGAATCCCCGCTTCTGTCTATGAAACCGGCAGGTGTTTTCAATCACAATTATCTCGTGGCGAATGGGGAACCGCCGTTAAGTTAAGTCCTTTCTTGCCGGGGCACATCGGCGCTCCGTGCCCAAGTGAGCAGCATTCAAAGGGAACGATGACGTGCTACCTGTTTTCTAGCGACATGACATCCAAACAGAGCGCACCAGATAGAAGAGCATATGAGAGCATCTTCTTGTGGGAAACCTCTTTCCAGCTTCCTGCCATAAAAACATCAACACGCCGGGATGAGTATATACAGCTCACCAGCCAGCCAACACTCGCACGGAACTGAACGGGTTGACGGGGTGGGGTTCACATGGGTGGGTGGGCACACAGAAGCCATGGTCAAACTTCTTGTTTTCGTCATGCTCATGATCCCCTTATTGCAACCTTTAGAGTGGGCCAAAGTCCCCACGAAAGCGCGGTCATTCCTATCAACAGGCACCGAACAATACTGACCATGGCATGGAAAAGGAACCCTCTGGGTTACACGCGAACCTTTTCTTGGCGGATCCCTTCAGGTGGAGAACTGGAGAAAGGGACTGCCAGCTTTCTCTCAGCGAACTGTCCGACGCATGAAATCAGCGTGCCAACTGCATGGCAGTAGAAAAGATCCAGCGCTACTCACGACAAATTGCCACAACACCCGCCACATCATGCAAAAACAATGGCATCATGTAAGGCAACATGAAGGAAACCGAGAGCAAGACCCAACAACTATCAGTGTGCGTCTTATCTGCAGTCCAATGAATCCGAGAATCCCGTTGACGCCGACCTGCCATTCTGGCTCGCTTGCAAAGAGTTCACAGAACAAACTGGTATGTACCAAAGCAATCATGACAATTGTATATTCGGGTCCGTCTTTTGTTGACTTGTTTTAAGGGATGTCAATGATAATTGTGGTTGAAATCCAAGTCAAAACAAGTAAACATACCACATTTTTTCGGGAACCAAAAGGAACAGCACAATTTTGTGGATCCCCAAAAGACAAGCCATTGATCCAAAGGAGCCCTAGGCTGGGAATCACCAACCAACCGCCTCTTCCGCCCAGCGTCTCTCTTCCAACTCCTGGCCCGCATGAGGACGCTTCGCTGGGAGATGGGTTTGGTGGTTGCCTGTTCGTTGTTAATTTGTTTCTTGGTTGTGAATTTGCTTCTTAAATTTCCCCCGGAATAGCTCAATCTCTGCCAAAATGGAAATCGTTGATTGATCTACAACAACATGTGTTGCAAATGCAAATAGCTGCGGCGGCTTTGGGCGATCGATCTTGCTTGTTTGGCCGATCTGACGAAACGTCGCGGGTCGCTCCTTTCGCTCCTTTGGAGCAGCAGACACGCCCACAATAAGTGAGATGCAAACCGGGACATATGGCGCATTCAGCAAACTATTGGAACAGTGACCAATCTATGAATTTCTTGCTGCCATCTGCAGCGTGTCAAGGCCAAAGCTGCGCAACATGGGTCCTAAACAAACCCAAAGGCTCGCAGCCCAGCCTCTGGCGCGGAAACACAAGGCTCCCCCCATTTTCGGGTCTCAGCGCGCGAAAAGAAATCCTCACCTGCCAAAGTCGTAGCCCTCCCAGGCACGCCAGTTGGGCAACCTCGCCGAGGTTTGGGCGCAAAACAAGTGTCTACAGAAACACGGTAAGATCCATGATGTTCCTTTTGTTGATTCATGGGACAAGTGGGACTGCCGCCTATTCTTGCTGAAGCCAGGGCGGAGTTCATGTTGAGTTGATACGCTGATATTTACCCAAAGAACACAAACATGGACAGCGCCAAAAATCAAGAGACCCCGTAACCTTCCGTTCAATCAAAGCGCCGGCCAGAAAGCGGAAATGTTTTCCAGTCATGGCCATTTCTATTCAAACCTACAACGTGATTTCCAGTCATGGTCAGTTCATGTCATTTCTATTTCAGACCTACGCAACAAGCTTCACACTCAGCTGAGGTCTCTCCAAAACGCACTCGGAGTTACACGAAGAACACAAAGGATGGCTATGGCCACCACGTGCAAGCTTTGGGTTAAGTAGGGCCTCGAACCTGTTCTTTTTTTATGTTGTATTTATCATTTTTTTGGGGGGGTGGGGTGGGGTTGTCGTAAGAAACCTCCAATGAATCAGGATTCCCTAGTCGATTGCTTTTCAACATCCGCCAAGAAAGGAAGAAGACGTACTCAGCATGTTTTAGGCAGTTGAACAAATCCGAGAGACACTTCCGAGTGAAACGGCCGGGCCGCCGCTTGCCCTCCGCCGGCAGGAACCGCTCCGCGTAGCCCTCCGGCACCGGAGCGCTCCGGTTCATCTCGTCGCTTCGGGGCCCCAGGGCGCGGAGCAAGGCGCCGCAGAAGTCCTAGTGCACCATGGGTGTACCCCGGATGGCTCCAAACTATGGCTCCATATAAATGACATGTTATATATACATATTATAATATATATATATGTATATATATACACATATATGTGCGTATTATGGCCAGAGCCCAGAACCCCCATGAATGCCAAACCAGCAAGCACATGCGCTGCAAAAAGCTTGCCTTAAGCCATAAATCATATGAATCACAGCATCAACAAAGTCAAACGAGCTCGGCTTGAAGATGACTGTTTAGGCACCATGTGGAACGTCACAATCAAACGGAAGAAATCGAAACAAGCAAGGCAACATGAGTCGGCAAAAACAACAATGTTTCAAAATCAGAGGGCAAACAAACAACACAGATTCAAAGGCTGTATTTCACATGGGCGCTGTTTTTTTTGGGCATCATGTGCAAAACCATGTGCAATATAAACACCACTGTAAGCGAGAGTGGGTGGATGCTCTCCCTTGTTCCTTTTCTTCTTCTTTTTTTTGAGGGGGGAATCCGGGAGGACCTCAGAAGTGCAAATCGATAGCTGTTAAAGTGGCGTCCCACAAAACAAAGTTGAGAACGCCTGCACTCCATTTGCAAAAGAAAAGATATTTGAGGGTCCAAATCACACACACACACATGCAAAACTCTTTGAAAAAAAAAGACACACACCTGTCTAAAAAAAAAACTGTCTGAAAAAACTGTCTGAACAAAAAATGAAAAACACTTTCTCATACACTACCCCTGACAACCAAAACGGCCTGACTCAAACGAGGAGCGGTGGCATTCTCCAAGTGCGCGTAGTGGCCCGCCTCTATGAGCTGCACCCAAGCCTGCAGTTCTGATACACCGGAAAGGAAGCCGCCAGCGGAAAAACAAAACGATAGGCTCAGAAGTCGGCAGTCAACAAAACACAAAAAAAAACAAGAAGAGAAAAAAACACAAATAGAAAAGCAGCAAAACAACACGAAAAGAAGAAACAAACACGGGCGCACGGGCAAACAAAGAAACAAGCACACGGCAAACAAAGAACCACAAACCAATCACCAGACAGATAGGCAGGCAGGCAGTCAGACAACAGACAGACGGACAAACAAACAAACAGACAAACGGACGGACGGACAAACAAAACAAACAGAAGCAAGCAAGCAAGCGAGCAAGCAAGCGAGCAAGCAAGCAAGCAAACAAACACATACAACAAACAAACAAACCAAAACAAACAAAAACAAACAAACAAACCAAAACAAACAAACAAATTCTGAAACAGACTAACACAAGGAAGGAAAGAGACGAGCAAGCAAGCAAGCAAGCAAGCAAGTAAGAAAGCAGGCAAGGCAAGGCAAGGCAAGGCAAGGCAAGGCAAGCAAGCAAACAAAGAGATACACAAACAAACAAACAAACAAACAAACAAACAAACAAACAAACAAACACACAAACAAACAAACAAACAAACAAACAAACACAAACACAAACACAAACACAAACACCAAACACAACAAGTAAGCAGGGAAGCAAACAAGCAAAACCACACCAAGCAAGAACACGACAATCAAGCAAGCAAGCAAAGCAAAGCAAGCAAAGCAAAGCAAGCAAGCAAGCAAGCAAGCAATTCAGGTCTTGAGGGGTGCCTGGCCCGTACGCCGCTTTTGACCTGAAAGGATGACGTGCAAAAGGCAAAGGACCGGCGCTTGTTCTGGATGTTTTCTGGAAGCTTCCTCATTTTTTGGATGCGTTTTTTAAGAGAAACCCAACCCAAACCATGCGTTTTTCTTGCATTCCAGGTCACACCCTTCGAACTTAAGGCAGACCAAAATGGCTGGTTTCCTTTCGAGGTTCTTTTCATTTAACACCCCCCCCGAGAAGGGTGCCCTCAAAAACACATATATACCTACCTTATGATGGTAAGTATGTTGCGCTCTATCAACGAGGTCAGATAAAAGCCAAAGTGTCACGAGTTTCCAGCTAGTCAAGCCCTCGATTTTCCTGGCTGGATTCGGGATAAAGGGGAGACAGTAACAAAGGCTGCAATGGGTCTAAGCAGCATTTGTACTTTCTGCCAGGTTGTGTTACAGCGTTTCACAGGCTGGTCAGAAAATATCACAATTGAAGTGGGCTCTCACACGTAAAAGACTAGCTGTCTGGAAGATGTTTACAATATGTATAATATTATATATGTAACATATTAAGACAGAACAAATACCAAATTAATATCAAGGCTGGATTGGAGGTGGTCCAGTCACTGGCTCCAAATCCTGCCTCTGGCGCGTCGGCCGCGGCGCATGCATCTGCCACCTTGTTCCCGTGCCGGAAGTCCATCCAGTCGCGGTTTCCGTAGATCCTGAGCTGGAAAAACAGGGATCCTTACATTATACACATTGCCTTGTGTGCCCTTTAACGTGACTTCTTCAGCTCCCCATTCAAAAAAATGTTGGGCCATTCCCCGCGACCAAACAAAGGATCCTTACGTTATACACCTGAACATTGCCTTGTAAATGGCGGTGTCCCGAATTTTGGTGGAAAAGGCCATGTTTCAAATGGTTGCAAAATGTATCTTTTAAGGAGCCCTGCAAAAGTCGGAAACTTGCCAAAAACATCCCATTTTACATCCCGTCAAGCCAATTTGGCCATGGGTCAAAATCCAAATCGTACCCCCGGTGAACATCCCAATCCCCACTAAAATAGACTAAAATGGGTGGCGCACCTACCCCAAAATGGTACCACTGGCTTTGACCGACAGCCAATGTGCCTTGGGGCATAGGGCAGATTAGTGAAAACATACCGTCTCCGGGAGATGTTGACACGAGATCTGCGAAAAACTTGAAAGCCCCGACTGGCGGAGAGGCGCCCCCAAGTTTTATTGGATCTGGGCTGCCCTCAGATCCCCCGCTAAAAGTTTAACTTTTAGTGGGTTAATGGAAACTGCCACTAAACACCAAAAGGCTAAAAAGCTAACGGGATGGCTGGGAGCCACTAAAGGATATGATCAACCCCAGTAACCAAACACAGCGGTAAAAGCCCACTGTACTACTACTGTACGATCGGGTGGCGGAAAACACTTTGCAAATGGCAGCTCGTTGTACATGAGTCAAGAGACTGTCTGGTCGGGCAAGCACCCAAATGCCTCCAAAAATTGCATTTGCCACCCAGTGTGAGAACATATGAGGAAACCTGAAGGGCTTTAGGAAACTTGAAGGGCTTTAGATTGAGGCATAAACCCACTCTAGAATACCATGACAAAATCGATCGGTTCAAAATAAAAGCAACATATAACGCACCCGAAAACACACATCGCGAGCAAAGAATAGCACATGCAAGGGCGTCCCAACAAGCTCTGCAACAAGTTCAAGCGACCAAACACCGGTGGTACATTTTCCCGGCTAGGTTCAAACTACTACACATCCAAATATGTTCCTTCCAACACGCAATTGCTGAAAAATACAACTCCGACCACATTCCAGCATGAAGGAAAAGAGAAACCAACGACAAATAAAGACAACCTGGTAAATTGTATACTATGCCCTGCAGGTACAAGCAATCGCAAATCCAGTCCAATCATGTTCCGCAAGCACAATTTGCAAACAGCAAAGCACAATCAGAAGGAACCATCACTGGTAGCGAACAGTCAAGACAACCAATTTGCTCTGCGAGGAGCATCTCGATGCGCTTGACTTTGAGCAACGGAAGGCGGCTAACCAGAGGCTTTTTGCCCCAGGCTCCTAAAG